GATTGCTCGTCAGTTCCAAACCCATCAGCGCGTGCCACCTTCTGCGAGCGTGCTCACTGGATGTCCTCTTCTTCTGAGATCAGAAAGCCTCATTGACATCATAACACGTAGGAGCACATCTAGATGGCGCTGCAAGTCAGCAACGTATCGTTACGTATGCTGCCTCTCTCTCTCTCTCTCTTTCTTTCTCTTTTTCTCTCTAGTTCTGGCTTTCAACTTAAACAAAAGTAATAAAGGGGTAAGAACATATAAACATTGGGTACGCCATTTTTTTTTTTAATACACTTTTTGTCGTTTAAAGCCGCGGTCACGCTACTTAGAAGTCATACAAAAGACAATCTGCACAAAGATTCGAACGCGAGACAACGCGAGATTCGTGCTTCGAATGCCGCATAGCAATGCGTTCGTGCAGAAACTTGGCACGTGGCATTCGAACCACGGATATTGCGGTGACTTATTTTCAGACCGTCTTTTGTATGAGGTAAGAGCAGCGTGCACACAGCTTAACGGAAAAATCATGGCGAATTCCACTGGGCGTTTTGGAGCGCGCCGGGATCGGTTGACCAGATCCGGACTGGAGCACACGATCCGAGCGGGGTCGCGCTGCCTGCGGATCCCCTGTTGAATATGAACACTGCTCCGGGATCGGCAGATGCCTTCCCGTCATTCAACTGCCCGGGAATCCCCTTTCCGTGGCCGCCGCGGTCGTTTCGAAGACGTTTTCGCAATCGCGGCGCTAACACGTGTTCGACGCACGAGCGGCAGGAATGGCTCACGCGCTTCTAGCAAAGATTGCCGGAATGCCCGTAGTGCGGCAATTACCTTCTCTTCTCCTTCCTGGAAAACGAACCGGCTGTCGAGCCAAGGGGTAAGCAAGCGGCCATTACGAATTCTTCTGACGTCGAGACAATTTAGGAGCCCAGCCCGCGACGTGCTTCTTCTTCTTCTGTGGCGAGATGGGCGAGATCAGGCGAGATCAGGCGAGATGCCCCACGAAAAAGGAAGTCACGTGTGTGCGCCGAGGGCTGGCCCTGCTGGCTTCCGTTTGAATCCGCCGAAATCGTGGGAGCGACTTCTCTCGGATCCAGATCGAGATCTAGAGCGGGAGCTAATCCAAAACGACCAGTGAAACACGTCGGTCTCGATCCCGATCGCCCAGTGAAATAGGCTCGCTCCAGAAAAGTCGATCCCGGCGCGCTCCAAAACGACCAGTGGAATTCACCATCAGATTTTCAGGCCGGTTCACAGAGCACCGTTTGCTTACGTTGCATTATCTTACAAAAGCTTACGTCGGCTTGCGTAGAGAGCCACCGACATTTTTGCGCTTCGAATGAAGCGTGGCAATCAATTCAAGGTGTAGACTAGCGTCTTAAGAAAACGCAAGGAAACGCTCCTCTGAAACCTGTCTTTACGCTTGCTCATACGCTGTCCGAAATATTTCTTCAAAACCCATTTTCTAAAAAAAAAAAAAAAAAAAATGTTTGTTTTTGTTTTGTTTTGACATTTTTGATAATATAGCCAACAACTAGTTCTATATTTACATTGAAGTATCTTAATTGACCACATATAGGCGCACTATTTATGAACAAGGCACTTGCGTCTATTTTCCCACAGAACACACGATCAATCATTGCGTTGCGTATAAATAACATAGCGAATAACTAGATCAAGAACACGAGTCTCCATACAAATGCAATCTTTACAGATGGTGTCTTCGCGCCAAGACGTTATCTCTGTCCTGTAAACAACTGGAATCATACTGTCGATCGCGGTGATTGGCAATCTGCGTGCTTTGCGGAAAAGCGAACCCTCAGGTTTTCTTCATAAACAGTGCGGTTATTACTCGAGTAAATACGGTATTCACTGGCGGCCATAGCTGTGTGCGCGAACGCTGAGCGCGTGCTGATGGCGAGCTTCCACAGTTCTTTCGCAACGTGCATTCCGCACCATCAAGAGTGCCGGTCTTAGCAGCCTATTGATGTGAGCTCGCTCTGAGCATGCACTCTAAACAGCACCCACAATTACGGCGTCCAGTGAATACTCGTTCCCCGTGTAGGGTCCCACTGCTTATACATCATACAAAATACAGTCCGTAGACATCAGTCACCGCGATACCCATGGTTCGAATGCCGCTTGCCTAGTGTCTCCTTGAACTCGTGGCCATGCGGTATTCGAAGCACGGATCTAGTGGTGACTCGCGTTCGAATCTGTTTAAAGACTGTCTTTTCAATAATGTTTACACGCACTGTGACCCCGGCTTAAGGTTATTTGGGGTGAAACCGAATAGTAGTGAAGATGTTTGATGTTTGTCTTCCCTTTGCCCCTACGTGTATCTTTTTTTTTTTTTTGTTACCGGTAACCGTTGTTTAATCTTATCTTTATGTTATTTTATTCGCAGTAGCCCGTCACACTATAGAGAATTAAGAAAAGCGCTCTCAGGAATAGTCGATTTCTGTTCGTGAAGCTTAGTGCAGCTGTGCAAGCAAGCAGACAACTGACCTTCACGAACGATTTCTTTTTTGTATTTTGTTCTGAGGGCGTTCATTATTCACTTGTCAGATTCATTTGCGCAGCTTGGACTTTATCCTTGTTGGGGAAACATGTTTTATAAATTATGGGATTCGTGACAGATCCAGGCGAAGCGAAGCAATCTGTGCAAACACAGCTAAAGCAATAGTAAAAATGCGCCTACGTTTTTTTTTTCGTTTTTTTTTTATGGTAATTTGTTTTTCCTCCTTTACATTCTCAATAAATGGTTTAGAATAAAAAAGAGGCCCATAATTAAGCTGCATAGAGATTTCTCACAGCTCATAATTTGTAGGGACGGCCTATGAAATGCGTATTATTATTCCTGAAAAAATGCTTGACTAGGCGGGTGAAGACATAAAAGTAATAAGAAAAACGGCTTGGCAAAATAAGAAGAAAATATAAGCTTCGTTAAACGTTTTGAATCGCATTGATCTTTGCTTTGCTTGTGTTGCCTCCCTTTTGAGAGGTGAAACGCAAGCAATTTTTTTATTACTTTTATCTTTAGTTTTTTGCGTCTGGTGTGTAATATAAAAATTAAATTATCGTCTCATCTGTTGCCAAAATGCAAACTTAAGCTCGGTAAGCAAGATATACACATCAGAGGTTTGTGTGTAAAACTGCGTTCAGAAACCGACTATTAGCGACGAGATGTTTCAGTGGCGCCCTCGTCTGGTTACCTTTCGCGACGTTGTGTTCAGCAAGTTCGATGGTGTTTGTAATGGGCATGGTGGAAGCCTGAAATCATAGCGCTCTCAAAGCAACGCTGCCAACACCGTCAAAATTGAAGGTCTTTCATTCCTCTTATTTCCATCGATGAGACATTCTTTGCTGACGTCATAGTCAGCATTCGGCCAATTGTGGTGGGCCGACCACAGCGACGCTTTCGATCGCTCACGTCGCCAATAGCTCGAAAAACATAGACCGATCTCACCAGCCAGTTTGACTACGCCACCGCTGCCGCAATGCATCGAGGGAGCTTTAGTCTTTCTGCACGTGCGACAACCTCGCTGGAGCTATGCGCGTGTGAAGCATGAGGCGGCACGAGCCGTCTTGTGCACTGCTGCCTGCCTCCTGTGAACTAAAGTTATGGCGGCGTCACGCGTGCGCCGAACGCTTGGTGAGATCGGTCTATTTATTCAACTTTTTGTTGGACTAATTAAAATCAATGTGTTCTGGTTCTACCTTGTAGAAGCGGCAATAAGGCGAGAATCATTGGAAACTATATATACATTGTCACATGACTTGTGGGATTTAGAATATTGTACTTTCCGTTTTTTTTTTTTTTTATTAAAGACATTATTGTCTCTCTGTACAAAATGAACTCCACGTTGGTTACATTGCGCCTACCTGACATTCTATCGAGAAAAAAAATCGCACTACCCGGCCAGACTTCGGATTATACAGACCTCTTCAGTACGATATGCATCGTTAACACCAAGAGTAAAGTCAAAATGAACGCCGAAAACTTGATGGCATCTGCGCGGTGCTCTTATTCTTATCTCTGATCAACCAAAATATTATTGGCATAAAGATGTTACTAATGTTTCCTGTATGCATGACAAAAACACTTACACTACATAGAACATAACGAAGTATTAAACCTAATGTTATAAGGGTTTATGTTTGCCGGTGTTTGACTTTTTGTTATTTCGGCTGTCTGATTACGTTCAGCGCTATCAAGATTTCTGACACAAGAGCCTAACTGTGTAAACTGTATTTATCTTCACCAGTACTCAGGAAAGAAAGTCGCTACCTAAAAAATGGAACACTATAAAAAGTAAAGAAATGCTTTCCGTGCTTTTTTTCCGTGTTTTAAATTGCAAATACGGTTTCGTTAAAGGAGCGATGAAACAATTCGTGTACTTTCAGTAAATTCTGCTTAGAATAATTGTTTCACATTTATTACCTGTGAAACACGCGTTAGCTTTTGCTTCGCGCAATAGTAGTCGCAGAAAAAAAAAAAAATCGAGGAAAACCCAAGCAGGGTTTACCCCTTCAACTCGCAGCCAGAACAAGCGGTCACGTGATCTGGTGTCGACTATATGCCGTCAATGGCTGCATTCACATGAATGTGACCGCAGCGCACCGAAGCGAGATTTGACTGTTTTGATTGGTACCCGATGGGCAAAAGAGGAAGAAGTAGGAAAACAGGCAGCGTGCGACTGGTCCCTGTTGGATTCAATGTGCTACTCGATAGTACACTGTAACGATAGCATTCATGCAGACGTATACACCGTTTATCATAGCCACGCGCTGGCGTTGGCAAACCACGGGGTTCGCGTTGAGTTCCACATTCCCGTCATCGCATGCGATTGGGCAAGAGCCACTGCCCTAATGCTTGTCGAGGAGTTGACAAGCAGCGCACGGCCGAAAGAAACGTGCGCTGTCGCGACTGGAAGTCACACGGTTGAGCCACATCGTATAGCCACGACTTAAAACTTAAAAGTCATCAGGGTGTCTGTCTGTCTCACCTCTGAGCCATCGAAGCAGGAAGTGATCCGTGAACTCCTCTTTCCAGATGTCTTGGATACGCCGCTTGAACTGAGAGTGCAGAAAACGGGAACAGTCACCGCATCGCTTGCATCTGGCTTTGAAGCCGATTCAACGCAACCAAATTTCACCGTGGGAAAACACGAAAGTAGGCGAATGGACAATGACAATAATCGTTGGGGTACACTTAAAAATTGGTAGTCATTTTTTTTTTAATTTTAATGTTAAGCTTTCAATTTTTTATTTGTTCTTGCGCGTGTGCACGGCCTTCTGAATTTTGCTCCGAATAACAGAGAATGTCGAGAGTATATTAAAACAAAACTTAAAAAAATGTTTTCATAAATTACGACTAATAAAGCAAAGAGTAACAGAACCCATCCCCTGTGACGATGGAACAATAGCGGGCAGGTCTCCTTTGGGTAAATGTAATTACTAACAACAACAAAAAAATTATAAACGCAAGAACGAAAATAAAAGGTAAACCAAAATTATATAAAAGCGGGGATCATGTCACTTGCAAGAATGCGCCTAGGGTTCTTAAGAAACCCAGATAGCGTCGTGGAGAAAAGATGATTAACAAAACTGTAAAGAAGTACATTTTTGTTCGCATTGTTTTGTTGCTGTTCTCATTTTGGTTCTAGTGACGCTTTTATTGTTGCTCTAATTTATATTGGGGCTACGGTTGTTGCTTTTTTTCTCTCTCTTTGAGAGCAAGCGTTACATAAAAACAAACAAAGCTAATATAGTTCGCCTCCAGCAACAAACCACAGATATCACACGTGACCGCTGATCGCAACACCCTTACTTCCGAAATTGCCGCACGAAAATGAGTCTTCTGATTGATAAGCACTGATCAATCTCAAGATAATTTCCCAACTAATACTGATCGTCATTTCCTCTTTCTCGCAAGTGTTCCGTCCATGGGCCTACCAACCGAAAAGGGGGGGGGGGGGGGGGGGGGGGGGGGGAACTTGAGGTAAAGCGAAGTGTAGAAAAACAAGAAATATTCAAGTGCGTTTTTTTTTTTTTTTTCAGGTTTTCAAAAAAAGTTATAACGAATAACGTAACTGTACGTTACAAAAAAAGTAACAGGTTACCGGTAACGCCGTTACTTATAACGAGTTACCCCCAACACTGCCCACGCGCATAGAGCGGCGTCATGGGATAAAAAGAAGGCGGTTGATAGGTACAGCGAGCACCTATATACCGCCGTAGTCAGCTTAGAGGGAAACGGGGTGCAAGGGGGCTCCCTTTGCAAGGGGCCGTGCGGCATTGCCAGCTGCTCGCAATCATTAGCCAGTCAATGTGACCCTGGCCCACAGCAGACCAGGTATCGAATTGATCATAAGATGATATTTAAAAAAAACATTCCATAAAACAACTTACAACCTCTGCCAGCTGGGTGTTAGGTCTTACTACGAATGCGCTTGCTATCTTGCCAAAAAGAGTACGTCATTTAGGCATAAGATCAACTATTTTTTTTTTGTTTTTTTTTAGTAGCTCCGATTAACTTCATAACGGCTTCGGCGATGGGTCCTGATCGACTGTTTATTTAGTTTATTTATTATTTTATTGTATGAGCAGACGCACCACTATCAGCTGCCAAAATAACCTAAATTAGCTTTATTTCTTTTTTTTTTTTTCTTTATAGCATCTGTTGCAAACGCGGAAGGATGTGAACTGAAGGTCCGATAAAAACACGAAATATTCGGCTTTCCGCGTTCGCTGCCAGTTCAGGGTTGGCGAGAGTTCAGCGAATCCATCTCGTAGCTTTCCGGTTCCGGAAGGGTCGAGCCCTTGGGTTTAAGGCAGTGTTGGCGGTAACGCGTTACAGGTAATGGCGTTACCAGTACCGCGTTACTTTTTTTTTTGGTAACGTAGTAAAGTACTCGTTACTTTTCAAAACCGTAACGGGTAACTTGCTTAGGTGGTTATTTCAAGTAACGTGCAACGTAGTTATATTCCTCGTTACATCTAGTTCACAAAACTTGAAAAAAAAACAGTACGCTTAATTATTTCTTTTCGTACTTCGTTTTACCCGATGTCCAGACGCAGCCAACCTAATAGCACGATGGGACCAATCATAGCGCGTCAATAATAATTGGGGTTGCGGGATATTTAGGCAGTGCGCAGTTGGCCAGCCACTCCAAAGATGTGACGAGTCACTCGCTGTAGATGAGAAATTTAGCCAGTGCAGTACAACCGCTATCTCTTGACTCGGCTTCGTCAGGAGATGGCATACATGTATGCCATATCTCCTGACGAAGCCCAGCCTCTCCGCGAAACTGTCGTAATATATACAATAAATTCCTAGCATAGCAACTCCGAAAGTACGGATCTTTGACTTATTATTATGTATATATATATATATATATCTATATATATATATATATATATATAAAATCGAAATACCCTAAGAGAGGACAAGGGGAGGAGCACGGGAGGAGGAGAGAAGGAGGAGGGGAGGAAGAGAGGGTATGGATAAGGAGGAGGAATATACCCTCCCTCCAGAGCCCTCCCCTCCTACTCCTCGAGAGCTGCGCCCTAATTCGGAGTTACAAGAAGTTGTAAATGTCTCTTTTTTTTTCCACGCAAGAAGTCCCACTTTAGAAAAACCCCAACGCCCACTCCGTGTGTTACTTTTTATCAGTAGCCGTAACGCGTTCCTTTTCTTTTGGGGAAACGTAGGTGTGTAACGCGTTCCTTTATTTTGCAAGTCCCGAGTGGCGTATTCCGTTAGATTTTCTTTTTTTTTTTTTTTCGGTAATGCTTACAACACCGGTTTAACGTTCGAGAGAACGTGATCCATTTTATTTACTATGTTCAGTTCTACCGTAATAATGTAATCGTAGCTCAACAGGCAAGTAGCGCATACCGGCAGCGCGAGATTGCCTCTGATAGAGGTTTAAAGGTTATGCATCAGGAGTCTCCGCGCTCAGCTTCCTCTGCGATTACAGCGAGGGTCAAATTAATTTAATCCACTTTAGAATATATTCTAAACATTACTATCGCGCGCTCCGACACAAAAATAGCACAAAATTGCCATCCGCGTTTGTTTTTTTTTTTTTTCTTTTCTTTTTGTATTGTATTAAGGAGCAAATTTGCCTCATTCAAAAGTTCGAATTCGGAACTTTAATTTTCCTACGGCCCAATTTTTCGTTAATGGGTTTCCGCGTGGACGAGCGGCCCACCAGTCCTGCTCGTCCACGTGGGAACCCATCGCTCTCGAGTTGCTGACTGGCGCCGTCGGTCGTTCGAGCATATTCAGCAAGGTTCGGTAGCGCCATCTGTCGCTCTGCGCCGACGGTAAATGTCGGGAACTTTGATAACTCTGAATGCAAAAGCACCAACTGTCCCATAACGCCAACCAACTGTTGCAGAAGTTGCGCGCGATTTAACTCATAACCATGCCTTCACGAAAACAGGAACTGTATTTACGCTGATAAAATAAATGTATAGACCTTTTCCGCAAGGGCGCCGCCATCTTGAATTGTCGTCACTTCCAGTATGGGCGAAAATATTGTTTTTCCGTCGCCACACCAATACAAGGCATTAAAATATAAGCGTAACCGTCACACAATCTCGTTTTTCCTCCTCTCTATTTTTTTACTATTTACAGGTTGAAACGTATTATTATTTTTTCCACCTATTAGGTGGCTGGGACGCGAGTACACAAAAAAGGTCTATAAAAATTTACAGTTGAAGGTTCTCAGTTCATGGCGTCCGTCTCGTTCGATCTGTCTCGCGCGTCTCCATGCATTGCGTTTCGCGTTCCGCTCCTTCCGCCCACAATTACGAGCTTTAACTTCTTTTTCTTTCTTGCTTTTTGCAACGCCAAGATTTCTCATTCTCGTCTTCTTCCTTTTCGAACACAGTCACACGCTCTCAGGCAAATACTGAACAGATTTCACTCGCGAAGGCCGACCCAAGCATCAAGGATAAAGCAGGGACTGGTGCTCCGCGCGTCACACGCGCACGCCTTCCCCGTATGAAAGATTCGAAGTAAATAACCAAAATAAATTGTTGACGAACGCGCATGCAAGATGCCATTTGTTTTAGGCATTTGCTTTAGAAATGTTATTACTGCTCAAGGCCATCACGTGCGGCGCGTGGAACACCAATCCCTGCATTTTCCTTCATGCTTGGGTAATATAGCAATACGTCCATTGCTTGTGACACGGGTGAAGTGTAAATGAGTCTTGTTTTTAGTTACATTGCCTAGTGTATATAGTTCGCTTATTGTGTAACACCGACGTCCTCAGCTTTTGCCTACGCAAATCGGCCGGGCAGGAATGTATTTTTTTTAGGATGATTAGAGCTCGTATAAAGAGTTATTACAATAAAACGACGATCTCAAGAAGCACCTCAGTGCCCTTTTTAAGCTTTTTCTTCTTTTGTTTTTTTGTGTGCAACTTGAAAGAAGAAAAATGTTGTTGTGGACGTTTGGAGCGTCTGATATAACAAAATAACAAAATAATGAAGAAAATAATTTGTAGTTTGTTTTCTTTCCCTGTTTTGCACAAAACGCCAAAATAGAAAGTTTGCTAATTTACCCAGGCATCAAGGAGAATGCAGGAATGGGAGTTCCACGTGCTACACGCGCACACCTTCCCCGCAAAAAAGATTCGGAGTAAATAACCAAAATAAATCGTTCACGAACGCGCGTGCTAGATGCAATTTGTTTTAGGTATTTGCTTTAGAAAAGTTACTACTGCTGAGGCCAGCACGTGCGGCGCCTAAAACACCAATCTCTGCATTCTCTTTGATGCTTGGGTAATATAACAATAGGCCTATTGTTCATAAAGAAACGCTTTTTTACTTTTAATCTAGGGAGGCTCAACTCTGTACTGAGCCGTACGACACGTTTGCGTTTCATTTTTAACTTCTGGTTGACGCAGATATTAGAGAGTTTTAGTAGATCGTTTTTTCGCCCCGATAACAACACCCGATTACGATACGACGCATGCCCCAGGCCGCCGGAGGGGAGAGGAAGTATCGTTATCAGGGCGAAAAAACGATCTACTAAAACTCTCTATATACGTGGATAGTTTCGAAAAGTAATTGCACCACATAGCTGTATTCGCGTGGTAACTTGCAATGTCGGAGCTTTCAGAACAAAATTTTGAGGCTGAATTAAAGTGAGTTATATCTATTAGTGCTCAGTGTACAGGACTGGAATAGCAGTAACGTTTATAGGAAATAAACCTACGAAATAGCTAACAATTGACGAAGCAGATACTGCTTCCTCTCAGCCCAGATAAAAAAAAACGCAAGAGCAACCAAGGCCCGACCCGATAATTAAAGTCATCTTAACTTTCAACGAATAACCCAGTTTGTAGTTATTTTTCTTTTACCAAAGGATCCAACATTCAAGCAATGTTCGCTAACCAAAAGCTAAAAAAATATTAAATTGTTTTTTATTTAAAAAAAAATCTTGTTTCGTAGATATAAATGTTAAGCGGCGCGACGTTTGCATCGAAGTGATCTCCAGACGTTAAACTTCAAAGTAGATTGACTTCTTGCCGTCAATACATTCATGCGAACAGTTGCTTTAATACCTTGTGTATACCTTAAGTTACTGAGTGCGATGCACTTTTTCTTAGTAAATACTAGTTGTTGTTTCTTATTGACGGGAAATTCTACTGTACGACCGCAAACCGGGGATACATAATGTGCATTACGCAGTGGTAGCATGATCATACCACGGCGGTACGGTATGCTCATTCATAGCCCATAGTCATTCATCCCAGTAACTGCTTGTTCATCGTATAAATATCTAGGAATTCATCTGACATCTGACCTGTCATGGACCACCCATATAACATCTGTCATCACCGATGCTAACCGCACTGTCGGATTTCTTCGCCATAACCTCAGACAAGCTACATCCCCCGTAAAACAACTTGCTTATACTACCTTGGTCAGAACTAAACTAGAATTCGCTTCTTCCATATGGTCACCGTAGCAGGCATACCTAACTAACAACCTGGAATCCGTTCAAAGCAGAGCCCTCCGTTTTATTTATTCCGGCTATTCCCCTTACGCAAGCATATCATGATTTCGCCAATCGGCTAACCTTGACACTCTTTTTCACCGCCGCAGGATGTCTCGTCTTTCTCTTCTTCATCGGATCTTTTATTACAACAGTCATCTCAGACAAAGTTTGTTATCACCTCCTTACCGCATTTTCCCTCGTCTCGACCATTCTTGTAAACTCCGTCCGATTTCATCGTCAACCGTCACTCACCAAATGTCTACTTTACCATTGGCCATTGACGACTGGAACTCACTGCCTGACGTAATTGTTTCCTTATCTGATACTAAGAAATGTTCTGCAGCCATTAGCTTATTTTTCTAACCCACAACTAGATTACAGCGTGTTTTTGTAGATCAATTGTTTTTTTTTTTTTTTAAGTGTTCACTCCCTTGTATAATTCCTCTTGGGCCTTCAAGGAATAAGAAATGATGATGATGATGATGATGATGATGATGATAGCAAAAGAGGCAGAAACTGAACCCTGCAACGCGAGCTTTCTCAAAATTTTCAGGAAAAGTAACTAATGCAACACTAAGAAGCGTTAATGGATTTAATTCAATTACTACTGCATGGTGAATGTTAAGAATTTCAGGTTGGCAGTCCTGCGCTGTCATTCACATATTCCCTCCTCTAAAAACAAGGACAAGAGACGTTGAATTTCAAAGCAGATGAACTTCTTGCCGTCCATACATTCATGCAAACTGTTACTTTAATACCTTTTATATACCTTAAGTTACTGAGTGCGATGTCCTTTTTCTTAGTAAATACTAGTTTTTTGGGTTTTTTTTTGCTCTTTTTCTACAGGGCTGCACTCTAACAAAACGTCCATGCGTCTACTTTCCCGCACAAAACTCGGTGAGCCAATCACCGCAACCTACGGAGGCAGCTCAGCGAATGACGATGCCGGAACATATGTTTACACAAAAAAAAAAAAAAAAAAAAAACGCTGTCTGAGATGTGACATTAAGCAATGCAAAATGTCACGCTTGCATTGCTTGATGTGACAACTCAGACTGCGTTTTTTGGTCGAAATATATGTTTCGGCGCCGTCATTCGCTGAGCTGCCTCAGTAAGTTGCGGTGATTGGCTCTCCGAATGTTGTGCGGAAAAGTAGACGCCCGGGCTTTTCTTAGAGTGTGTTCTCACTGTCTGCGCAGTGCCGACTACTCAATTTCAGTTTGTAAACTGCATACATTCACGGAGCTGACGCACTCACCTCATCAAGGGCTTGCTGCTGCTTTTCACTCAGATCACCGAGGTAACCGCTCATGTCGGCGGTTCTTTGTGCCGGCTAAAGAGGCTACCGCACCTTCCCGCCGCAAATGAGAGAGGCTACCCTCACTGAAGCGACCGCCACCGACGAGACGCGACGAGTAGACGAGATCGCTTGCGAACGAGGAAGTCGAGGAAAGAGAACTCGCGCTGCGCCACGTTTCGTGATTAGCCAATCGAAGGGCGACGTTCAGATAATGCCATTCTTTGGCAAGAAGACAACGGCCTCCCCCGCAAAAAAAAAACGATTAAAACAAAGTTTGTTTTTTTTTTCTTTTTTTCGATGCCTATTCGTAAATGTGACTTATCTCGTGCTCCTAATGAAGATAAAATAGCCATCTTGCTGCTATCTGTCTGAAAGAGCTGTGGCGGTGCTCTACACTGCAAGGAAAAGGAAGAAATTTTGGTTGTTGTTTTTGAGTTAATTAAAAATAACAGTTCTAAAATAGACGAAGGACAAATGACCAAAGTGCACACACGAAGCGGTTTATTACCATGATTTTCACATGCGGATTTATTTCAGACATCATGCGGCTGCTAGGGATTTTAGACCTTCACTACCTCTCTGAAAGGAGAGTGATGCGTGATTTGTTATTTTTACATAAATGTCTCCGCGCTTCTATTAACTAGTTTAAATTAACCTCGTTTGCTTTTATAACTGTACCAAATAGGATTCGTTGCTCCAATCGTCGTTTCTCTGAGCCCAAAAAAACTCGTCTGAGGTGGATATTTTTACGTGTGAAAATTTTAGTATGCGATTACTGCTAAAGCTCTGAGTAAATCACTTTCTTTTTTTCTCTTTTCTACTTTTTTACGGATTTAAATTTGTTCAGCCAGTATTGCTGTTCGAGCTACCTTGTGTGTCTTTCCTTCTTTTTTTTTCTGCTGTTTTACATTGGAGTTGGAGTGGCGCAAAAATATATGTTGTGAGAAAAATCAAAACTAAAAACGTTATCGGATGCAAATCCGATAATGTTTTTAGTTTTGATTTTTCTCACAACATATATTTTTGTGTTACTCAAAACCGTGCACGCTTTTACGTGTTTTATATTTACATCAGAATGCATACGCCTGACAAAAGGTGCGCCCGGCCAATGAGCTTGGGGGTGACCCAAAAGTTAAATAAATAGAATATTTAATGAGTTATTTCATTAATTAATTAACCACGTTGTTTGCAAACGAGGCCGCGCTTCGTCACGCGCACGCGTCCTACGCGTGCGCAAAAGCCAGATTCGCGTGATGTGAAGCGTCCGCGCGTGTGCAGCCCTTACAGCTTAAAGGCCGACGACCAGGCTCGAGATTCTGCAAGGCAGAAGATCCTCCTCACCATGGGGGAGGGGGAAACCGGCAACGGTGGATAGGGTAGAAGGGGGAGAGGAGGAAGCGGGGAAAAAGTGGAAAGCTCGAACTGGTCGTCGACCTTTAAAGGCTCCGCTTTGTTATATACTCCGACTTCGAGCGTAGCAAACGCGGCGTAGTGCGGTGGACACCGGAACTGATTGGTCGCAGATATCAAGTTCCCGTTCGCCGGCCAATCAAAGGCCCACGTTTCCGTGGTACGTTACATTCGAGGCGTAGTCAATGAGTTTGCGGCACTAAGGCATGGTTCCCACAGCCACGTTTTCTTACGTTACGTCACGAAAGCTATACGTCACAAGTCACCGAGACATTTGTGATTCCTATTAAGCGTGCCTACCGGTTTGAGGAGATAGTCTGATACGTGACATTCGAGGCACGAATGTTTCAATAACTTATACAAAGTGCCTTAAAAAAAAAATAATTACAATGTGTTTTCTTTTTTATTCAATAAATAAAATAAGCATCGCCGATCGCCCATTTTCCACTCAAATGTAGGGCTAGACGTCCTAACCAGATACCAAAGCTTCAGCTCGAACCGATACCTTATTGAAAAGTTATAAGTGATTTTCTTAAATCTTAAATGGCAAAATGGGGGCCCTTTTTTTGCCCGTTTTAGATTTCTGGCGCCATAGAGCTCCATGTATTCGACAGCTTCGTCGGTCACCATTTTTCAGTTAAAATTTCCAGAAAATCACTTTATTTTTTTTTTCTTGCTAAATTTCAGCGGTGAATGAGCGTTCAGCAATGCGTAGTTTATTTTGGCGAAAAACAAATTAGGACATTTTTTTTACGTATAGCAATAAAACGAGATTTTTGGGGGGCAGTAACACTGCCGAAAGAAGAGTTCCAAAGCATGAAATGTTAACGTAATAAGCAAAGCCCCGCGTTTCTTAAGTTACCAGTTACTTAGTGCCTGGCTGCTTTTGATTTACCCAGGACATGTTACGGTCACCTTGCGTGTGCACTTTGTTCCTGCGGCGTTCGTAAACATTAGCACTCGTTTGCCTTTCTTTATTTTAGAGCAGCACCATGGATCCCTACAAACCGTAGGGCGCCCTACGGTTTGAAGACCGGTGGCTTCGCCGCGTTTCCATATGAGTTATGCCTTTTTTTTGCGGCCGATTTAAAGAGCCTGGCTGCTCCTTGATACACCCAGTATAGACGCTTTACACACGCGCCAAATTACAGCCGCCATGGCTGACCTTCTCTTGCCTTACCGAGATGCCGAGCAACTGAAACGGTAGTTGACGATCCTCCACACACAAAGGCCGATGCTTTAGCTCGAGGCCGATGCGAATTTTGCGGTCGATTTAAAGAGCCTGGCTGCTCCTTGATACACCCAGTATAGACGCTTTACACACGCGCCAAATTACAGCCGCCATGGCTGACCTTCTCTTGCCTTACCGAGATGCCGAGCAACTGAAACGGTAGTTGACGATCCTCCACACACAAAGGCCGATGCTTTAGAAAAGGACACAGTTGAACCTAATGTGGCAATAACCTGGCCTGCTATGGTAATGATGAAGTGAAATAAACGGAATAAGAGGAAACAAAAACTGAAGGTCAGTTATGGCGGCGTCCATGCACAGCTGCTGCAAAGCGTCTATATTGAGATCCCGAAATATTGAGCTTGCGAAAAATAAGTTGTTTAAAGTATATATATATTTTCTTTTATTTTTATCTTTTTATGTACGAAACCATTTTTTTATTTGCGCTACAAAAGGTGACCATGAGACGAAACAAAAAATCTAGGTTTGTAATAGAGAAGTTTGAACGGCCATTCCTGGTCAACACTAGGCGTGACTATGACAGACAGGGTAGTGTATCGAAAGGAACTCCTCGAAGCCACTGCATCGCAAAGTGGTTTGCGTCTGATCTAAACATTCAAGGCTTGGAATCTGTAAATAAGTCAGGCTGGAAGTTAGAATACCTAATAAACCAGGCTGGAACAAGGTTGGAATTTATAAATAAACCGGAGGTAGTTTTCTTGAGATCCCATTTTCTGTTTGCATATCAATTAAGTTACATTACAAGGTGCATAACTGGATACGGTGGTTTGTGGCGCTATATCTTCCAAAAACTAGACTTTTAAAAGATAACGTCCCACCTTTTGAATCAGTACCTAAAATTATCACGAAGTTTATAAAAACATGGCGAAATCATTGCGAGGTGGTCGTATCTCACCGCCATTATTTTTTCCCTAAAGCCGTGGTCACACTGATTATACTTCATACAAAAGACAGTCTGCAAACAAATTCGAACGCAGGTCACCACGAGATCTGAGCTTCGAATGCCGCATGTCAACGAATTCAAGGAGATACTTGGCACGCGGCATTCAAACCACATGTATCGTGGTGACTTATATCCGCAGGTTGTCTTTTGGTTTCACCTTATGATGTACCGCAGGAAAGGCTACAAGCGCGAGCTCCTTGCTTTGGGGCAGATCTCGGCGGCACAGGCTCTCGTGACTTAAAGGGGCACTGACACCCCAAAGGTCGTATTTATTTTTATTGTCTAAAACGATGCAAGATGCAGTCATAGACACGCAAAAAAAACCGCATCGCGAAAAAAAATTTTCCCGCGCGCGCGCGCGCCTTTTTATTTTTGGCGTTTGATTTTCCCGCCTCTCGCCTCCTCGCTTCTTTTAATCGGTGACGTCAAAAATCAGGAAATTTAGAAGCTTTGTAGGCGACATCTCTATAACATTTAATAACGGCAATCCTAAAACATGTTTTTTAACGCAATTGCGAACGCACTACGGCCCTTCTTTTTGAAATACCAAAAATCGGGAGTTCGTTGTGGTGCCGTCTTCTGGATTTGTATCCTCCAACGGAAAACAGGCGACACCGCTCAAAACCGGTCCGCCGTAACGCCACCGCTCGCTCCTTTCCTCCTCGCTTTGGGTCGCCATGGCAACAGCAGGGAGTGGTGAAAGAAAGTCGACTATCAGGTCTCCCCGATTTTTGACGTCAAGGCACCGGCGCCGATCGCGCGGGAACTTCGAATTCGGCATTTGGAAATTGTTTTTTTACTTCACAAATACTGAATTCCCAAATTTCAAATTTTGAGGGTAATGTCCCGGCATCGTTTTCAATCGTTTCGGATAATAAAAAAAAATATAATTTTGATGTGTCAGTGCCCCTTTAAGAGCGGCAGCTCGCGATTCTAACCTTCGCTGCGGTACAACATAAGGTGAAACGATGTATAGTAGTAGCAAACACCGCAATATGACCCTCAAAAATTGCATAATAAATATTTAAAGAAGGAGAACACTAACATATCAAACCTCGTACTCAGGCTCAAAAAGCTACGTCAAACAACGTGCAAAAATTAAAAAAAGAAAAAAGAAGAAATAAAAGGTGCAGCATGATTTATTTTATTTAGGGAAATCCGGAATTTTTATGTGCGGAGCTAAATCTTTTCTAGAGTTTTATACGCGCTACAGATTGCAGTCGAATATATTGTAGCGCTAGCCGCCACATGTCCAAATGAATATCTCAAATTAAATAAGCCTCACAACTTCTATATCTGCTTCCCCAGAGCAGCTGTTTGCCGTTCAATTTAATTCCATTAATTTTTTTTTATTTCAAATCAAGTCATACAAAATAAACAGTTGGCCCAGTGCCCACTCCTAGTACTCATAACCTCCTTGTTTACGATGCTCTGCGGTGCCTGGGTTGAGAGCGCTGCCCCGCGGGGAGACAGCGCCTCCTCCTAATTTTTCAAGCGTTCGCGCGCTTTGGGATTTTGGAGGCTTCGGAGCCGGAGGACCAGCACTTTCATGGCTAGGGTGCCTATTCATGGCATCACTAGAGCGCTTCTCATTTCCGCTGCGGGAGGGTGAGCAACGAGCTAGAGACACGATAAGTAGTTTCGGTTTCGGAAGCTCGTCTTGGTCTTTTTCACTAAATTGGCCGAAGTAGCGTATCCCGCTGGCAACCACACCTCAGTGTATTCATTAATTATAAAGCGCACCGCTGTCCGGTTTGTCGAAGGTTGATGCAGTGCCTGTTTACGCAGAATACTTGGAAGATTTATAAATTGTCATAACGATCTATTTTACATTTTATTAATGTAAATGCTCCGTGTGAAGCCCAATGTTGTGGTTGATGTGCATGGAGGTTGATATGCTCGATATGCTAGAACTCTGCTAGCTGCGCGGAAGTGATGGAGGTTGGATTTACGGAAACGTTCTCGTGTTTCCGAGCTTGAGAAGTTCGTGGCCATGTGCTCGTGAGCCTGCTGAGTGTGCTTCTCTGGTGACTTCAAGTGTGCTTCAGGTACCCAGAGGGGTGTATCTTCATGAGCGGCGTCCGCATAACAAGAAGTTTGTTTCTGAAGAGCCTGAAAAGTGTTTTGGGCCCTCATAATGCCAGGGTAAGCAACCGGTTTGTGCACCGCCGATGAAACGGAGTGATGAACCAAGCGGTGCCGACGGTGTTTTCTCCGCGCAGTTCGTCTCCAGGGCCAACAACACGGTCTCCCTGCCCCAGGAAATTAACGAAGCTCTTGAGTCTTCTGAAATGAAACATAGGCGTCATCCGGGCGTAAGAAAAAATATACAAGTCAGTATTCCCGACAAGCTGCTCGCCGCAGCCACGGAAGTTCTAGCAAGTAAGTAATTCAGGTCTTACTGCTTGGTCCTGACTGGCCGGGCTTGTGTGAAGAATGTATAAGATACGTAAATTTGTCAACAGATCTTTGGAGTATTGATTTCTCCAGGTGCAAATTTGCAAACCTATAGGGTTTAAGTAAGAGGTACTTAAACTCCAGTATCTTTCGTGCCGACTCTCACGTAAACTCTCATCACGTCGTTTTCTAGTTTGCGATACTTAAAGTAATACGACAGTGGGAAATAACAGTATCTTAATTGAGAAAGATTATAACAGGAAGCCAGTGGCTTGACGCATCATCGCATTCTTGGCTGGAGATGCAAGACACAGCTGTCATCAGAGCTCAGTGCACAAGGTATTTGCATCCATTAAAATGCAAACTGGATTTTTTTCACACCACAAAAACAGGCAATGCATCGCCCAACACTAGATCTCTTCCAGATTGTAAAAACAGCAGCTGAGAGACGAAATGCCTACGTTTACAACTTAACATTATCTGGTTCACGAGATAGGAGCGATTTTCAGAAATTGTTTTATTAGAAGACTATGATCGATTTTTAGAAATTGTTTTATTAGAAAACAGGGTTCATTTCCTCCCATTGAATTGTTTGCTATCACTTGTCACTTTTGTACCAAATGATGTGAAGTTTTGAAATTGTAGCACCTCATCTCGACTGCCGGCACTAACTGGGTCTGAAAATTCAAACATGCATAGGTCGTTTTTGTAGTCATAAAAGCACAGTTCATCTTTTGTAGCACATGCCCCAAACATGTGACCCAAAGACCCTTGTCTTTCATTCTTTGATGATAGCTAGACAACAATATTAGTGACAGAACTTAAATTACGTGAATAAATATGCCGCATGCTGATCTTGTGAACCTCAGCAAGAGAAGCTTGTTCAGCTCAGTATTAGGCATCAGTATTCTAACTAAGTACACTCATTCTGTGTAGCCAGAGACATTGGTCAGCTGCGTGAGGCGGCGTCCATCTTGCGGCTGCAACTCTGGACAAAGTGCCTGCCCACCGAGGACCGTGAGGTTAGGGACAAGGCACAAGCTCTCGAGAGGCAGCTTTTGGGAGATCGTGAGTATTTTTGTGCAGCCCTAAGGCATCATTGTTGCAATGCTAGTCTGCCTGAGGCAAATTGTTGTGAACTTCCATCTACTAACATACCATCATAAGATGAGCACTTTTTCCTTGTAAGGCAAGGCGAATTTGGAGTCTATGTGCCAAGCCAGCGAAGGGCATCTGGTACAGCCCAGTGAAGGGCCAAGGATTAATTTTTACCACTTCGGGGTCCATCAACGTGCAACCAAAATCTGAGTTGTCCGCTTTCTACACAATAAGCCTCTATCATACTGCGGCCACCTCGGCTGGGATTGTAACCTGCAAACTGGAGATCCGTAGGCCAGAGCTTTGATTTGGAGCCACTGAGGCGGCTGGCTTTTAATGTGATAGCATTATTAAGCTACTCATCACGGATTTGTCTATAATGTAGTTATCTAACCTCTAGTGGAGTAGGCAGCGGCGGGGAGGGGGTCCCTGGTTATCTGCTAAATTTATCGGAAATTTTTTGTCACGTGACCTATGCACCAATTCATTTTCACCGCTAAATTTGGCAGGAAAATTGATGTAACGTAACCTAATGTCACGGGACCTACAAACCGATTCAGCTTCCCCGCTAAATTTGGCGGGGAAATTGATGTCACGTCACCTGCCCTCATGGGACCTATGAACCAATTCAGTTTCCCCATTAAATTTAGCGGGAAAACTGAATTGCCCTAAAGGTTGTCTTAGACGTGTTCCTTGAGGCCGTCCTAGATGTCGTTATCGTTGTCCTCTAGGAAGTCGTTTTAGATGCCGTTCTTGACGTCGTCCATGGCCTCGTAACAGAAGGAGGAGGTAAACATGGCGAATGCTATCGCAATTCATAGACAATCAACAATAGTGGTTTCTGTTTAATTACTGGATTTCTGGCACTTAACCTTTTCTATATCATTCTTCTCTCTTTGTATTTTGTCTTGTGGCTACATTTATCACTTCATGGCCCTCTCTAAGAAGCTACCATTTAAACCATTTTGTTGTTCTTTATTGGTAAACAAGGTGACTGTCCGTTCGAGAAAAGTCCTCTGTAAACAAACTTTCCCATGGAACGATGTCACGGCCTGAAGCTTGGGAGCGCAAGTGTTCCAACCGATGATATGCGTGATACTGACAATGTCTGGGAGGATTGCGAGTGTGCCATTGCTGAGAGAATGTTGAGGCCCTATGCTAGTCTTAATTATACCACTTGTTACGGTCTCTTAGCCATAACTAAATATAAAAGGGATGATGCTCGCTTTTTGGTTTCACCTTCTTTTTTGTAAAAGTCTGCTCAGTTTCCTACACTTTGTTTGTGACCACTTTTGGTCAGTTATCCTGCATTATGAGGGATATCTTGCTTTCTGCTACCGTGTAAAGCAGAGGTCTCGAACTCATTCAAGTGCAAGAGCCAAATATCCCTTGCCCGAAAGGTCAAGGGCCTACATAAGGTGAGGGGTGCGGGTTACTATATTTTCGTATTTTGGGTTTAAAAAAGAGCAACGGCGTTTCACGTTGCAAAACAATGGACTCTCTCAGTGACACCCCGGTGCATTTCTAGAGAAGGGACCTTGTGCTCTCAGCCTTCTCTAAGCTTTCCGTTTTGCCAGTGGCATATTCAGCTTTGATGTGCTTCTACGACTACTTTGGGCTAATACCTGATGTGATAACAAGATTTAAAACGCCGACCTGCTGGCATTCTTTAAGAGTGAGAACAAGCACACTGTCATTCACATGTCGCACAATTCACTCTCCTTAACAGGCATGGCAACAAAAAATATTTTTATACATCCGTTTTTGCTTTCCCATATGATTCTATAGCAGCATCATAAAAAAAGAAAGTATATATATATATATATATATATATATGTATATTACATATTTTTTTTAACGGCTAGAAGCCCAAGCTCATAGCTTTATCTTTGGTAGTTTCTCCTGCTGAGTGAGAGTTCATGCAGCCAAGGTATGTGTGTCCTTGAGCAAAGAACTCACCCTTGTAGCCTAGTAGAGTAGTGGTATTGTCAGACAGGTGATTTACATAAGAAAGAGTTGTGAGGAAAATATTTAGACGAAAAACTACTCTGTCTAAGACAAAACAGAATAGAGCAAAATGTCAACATCCTACGTCCTCCGTCTCGGGTTTTACAATGTTGAAAGTTCACCAGCTCGCTTGCATCTTCTCTGTAATTTCGAGCAAAATGTGTTAACAAGTTCTATCAGTAGAGCTACTTTTACAGCGGAAATGAATCAGCAATGTGAAACTTTTACAGCGTAGCTGTTAAGGGCTAGTTTCCCCAGGATTGTGTCCGGTACCAAACAAATGTCGACACCCGTGGTCGACACAACACTATGGTTGCCGCCGTTGCTCATAGATGGCGGTAGCTGTCCAGAGTGTTGTGTTTGCCGGTTGTCTGCTAGCCGCTGTCGCTCATAGGTCGTGGCAACCTTTCCAGCCTCGGCAACCAGACAACTGGTTGCTGCCGTCGCTCGTAGATGGCGGCAACATTGTAGTATTTCTGATCAAGCGGCGGCCAGGGGCCCGTCGTTGAAGCTCAAAGAAGGAATGACAACCGCCGGCTGCTGGTCATGGTCTCTGAGTCTCGAGCACCCCGAGCGCGGGTGCCCGGCCCTGTTTATTTCACGCGCGGCATCGGCTTCTTTTTCAGTGTCGGCATTATGGACTATATACAAATACTACATATTCTCTCCCTCCCTTGACAGAAAAAAAAAACCAGAAAAAAAGAGGAAAATGCCACATAGCATATTATCTCCTTCCCTTCACAAAAGAAAAAAAACAAGAAAGGGGAGAAAAATACCACTACTTCTTGAAAAAAAAAAAAAGATTGCACTTCACACTGCACCAAAAGTTTCAAGAAAAGAAAAAAAAATTAGTCCAAAGATTCAAATGTCCATGATTTCATGAGATGTGGATGATGGGCTCATGTCCAAGATATTCATGACATAGTCTTTAAATCGTTCTGGTAAACGTATATGACGTCTTGGGCGTCCTTCTACTTGAAATGTCAATGGTAGAGGTGTTGAAACAGGCGTGGCGAAGCCCGATTCAGTAGGCGTGCTTGCAGTCAGGTGTGGTGGCGATGAGCATGATGGTGCACCAAAAACAGCATCCGCGGTGGACGTGGCAATTGTATTAGGCGTAGCTGAACCTTCGGGCTCAGGACCAGCACCCGAAACACAATCAGGCGCAGAATCAATTGGGGACTCATGCACTGGAGACGTAACGCCAGCATCGGAGTCCACAGAGGAGGGCCGTGCTGATCTGCCGCTTGAACTGGAGTCTGGCAAAGAGCTGCAGTACCCAAGTCCAAGCAGTGAAGTACTTGGACCATTAGATGAAACAGGAGTCGGGTTTGCAGGCCCAAGAAGGTGGCGAACAGCTCCGTCAATGCATGGCGGAGAAGCATGTGGCGGGGATGGGCCACGACCATGAACATCTGGCGCCATGAAGCCAAACCCAGTGGCACCAGGAACCTGAGCACCTGGAACCGCTGAACCAGGAACCTCAGGGACTGCACGAGGGGGGAAAATATCGTCCTCTAGAGCCCAAGAATACTTCTTCGAAGGCTGCAGCGTCGTTCGAGTGAGCCTTTCAGCGTTCCACGTTGTTCCATTGTCGAGTTTGTATGTAGACGGACCAATCCTTTCACGGATCTCCTGCGGAGTTGAATATTTATGTCGCATTTTGCCTTTTCGTTTTGACTTGAAAATCTTTACAAAATCTCCAGGTGCAAAAGATGGAACCTTCACGGCTCTGCGTGAGTCAGAGTACTGCTTCATTTTTTTCTGATATACCTGGACCCTATTAGGTAACCCCTGTCGAACTTCAACCTGTGGTATCGAAGGCTCATTGGTATTCCTTCCTTGAAGGTGCAAACGTGTACGATGATTGCGACCATGTAAGAGAAAAGCTGGGGTTTCTCCCGTGGCAGCATGGCGTGTGCTCCTATATACACCAAGATACTCAATGATTGTGTCGTATATAGAACGCTGTTGTACAAGGGCCAACTGAATAGTAGATTTCAGAACTTTGTTAAATCTTTCCACTTGACCATTCGCTTGCGGGTGGTATAACGCAGATTTGGTGTGTTTTATTCCATTTGTCTCGAGGAACTGTGAAAATTCCCTTGAAGTAAATTGAGGTCCGTTATCGCTGGTAATCTCCTGGGGTAGTCCCTCACAAGAAAAAATCGACTTCAGGAAACTGATGACCGAACCAGTCGTGACACTGGAGACAGCTGCCACTTCCGGCCATTTGCTGTGGTAATCCACTACAGTGATAAAAAATCGTTCCTTGGCAGGTGCCTGCTCGAATGGGCCGACGATATCTATGCCAAGCTTGGTCCAAGGATGTAATGGAAACTCTACCGGCTGCAGAGGCGCGGGAGATGACTTAGCTGGCTTGTCGGTCGCTTGGCAGACTGTGCAATGCTGCACGTAGTCCTTAATTTGCATGGAGATGTGAGGCCACCAGTAAAGTTCTTTGATAAGGCTTGTGGTCCTCGAAATTCCTTGATGCGTTTCGTGACCAACCTTAATCACTTGATTCCGAAGGCTAGATGGAACTACGATTTTCTCTCCTTGAAAGAGAAGTCCATCGATCACGGAAAGCTGCTCGCGAACGGAAAAGTATGACTTCAGCTCTGAAGACAGCTTGTTATGCTCTGGCCATGATGAAGAAATAAACGTCATAACTTGAGGGAGCACGGGATCTCTAGCAGTTGCTTCTTGGAAATCCTTCTGGTTAAGGCAAGCACAGATGATAGAAACGACCTCTTCTTTAAAAACTGTGCCGTTCTCTGTATCTGATACTGGAAGGCGAGACAAAGCGTCTGCGACGAGATTGTTGCTGCCTTTCTGAAATTCCATGATAAAATTATAATTAAAAAGTCTGGCAACCCAACGGCTGATACGATGAGGCCGGACGCCAGTTCCTTGAGTTGTCATCAGGGTGACAAGTGCTTGATGGTCAGTACGGATGGTGAACTGCCGACCCCACAAATAAACATGCCATTTTTCACAAGCCCACAGTATAGCCAGAGCTTCCTTTTCGCCAGTAGAATACTTTCGTTCAGCCTCCGTGAGAGAACGGGACGTGAACGCAACGGTTTTCAGCTGTCGTCCGTGTTGTTGTTGGAGAACAGCCCCTAAACCGTAATTAGAGGCGTCGGTTGAGACTATGACAGGAATGGTAGGGTCGAACATAGAGAGTATTGGTGCCTGCTGAATGCAGGACTTGATATTTTTGAAACTAACAGCTACATCAGGGGACCAGACATAAGATACACCCTTGCGTAGAAGACGACGAAGGGGTTCAACGACCGTGGCACAATGTGGAAGAAACTTACTATAATACTCTACAAGACCCAAAAAGGCCTTCAATTGTGAAGGTTCTGTTGGCTCTGGAAAGTTGAGGACTGCGTCTATCTTCGACAGAAGGGGTGCTATGCCTTCTGCAGACAAACGATGACCCAAAAAAGAAAGTTCATGAACATTAAAAACAGCTTTTCGATTTAATTTCATTCTTGCCTCAGCGATTCTTTTGAGTACGTCTCGCAGGTTATCATCGTGCTCCTGTTGGGTTGACCCATATACAATGACATCATCTAGATAGAACTGGACGCCTCGACAGCCTTTGAGAATTTTGGACATTACTTGTTGGAAAGCCGCAGGGGCGGAAGCTAATCCAAAACAAACACGTTTAAAACGGAAAAGCCCCTCATGGGTCACGAAAGCGGTGAGGTCGCGACTATTAGGGTCGAGGCGGACCTGATGGTAGGCGGATGCTAAATCCAATTTTGAAAAATGTGATGCTCCTCGAAGCGAGTTTAACAACTCGTCGATATGTGGGAGTGGAAAAGAGTCAACGACGATAGCTCGATTCGGCGCTCTCAAATCAACACACATCCGGATTCCGCCGTCTTTCTTTTTTACTACGACGATAGGTGAAACCCATTCCGAGGCATTAACGCGCTCGATGACGCCTTGTCGCTCAAGTTTCAGAATCTCTGCTGTGACCGCATCACGCAGAGTAAGCGGTAAACGACGGAGCTTTGACTGTACGGGTGGAACATGGTGCCGTACAGTAACGGTATGAGTGTGATTTTTAACCAGTCCCAGCTCAGAACTGAAAAGATCTTCAAATTCTTCGAAACCAGGTGGCAGTTTGGAGAAATCACTCACCGAAGAAGACTTTGATTTCTGTTCTGAAGTATCAGAAGAAGGAGCACTTGAAGATGATGGGAAATGGTCGCTAGCGGAACCAGAAGGACTTGAAGTCTTGTAAAATGATGGTGTGAGTGGACTACTTGGAGCATCAGATGAGCTCGGAACTTGTGATGTTGAAGTAGAGGAACCCGCGGTGCGCGGTGACTGCGGGATGTTAGCCGATTTCACATGTCCGTGGTCGGCCGATCGGGAGTCAGCTGCATTAATATAAAAACATTTCAGCTGTACCCCTGACAAAATAAGCTTGAGATCACGGACGGCGTCTGTGCCGAGCAGAGAACGTCCCTTGCTCACAACGTAGAAGAGGATGGTCGCGAAGCGATCGTTGAAAGCGACATTTGCGTGAAAACAGCCTAAGACTGGGATGGATCCCTGAAGGTAATGCACCAAAGTGCGCGGTGGTTTCATTAATTGAATTCGACAATTCCTGGTAATTGTCTTTTTTTTTTCTTTTTTTTTTTTACATTTCTCTGGAGGAAGAAGAGCGGGTCCAGAATGAGCGGCGATGTGCGCAGCAACACGAATGGCTTTGCAACCGCCGCGAGGTCGCTATCGCCTAAAGTTTGATTGCGTCGAGTGCTTCAGATTCTCTTGCGAAAGAAGAGTAGATCGCTCGCCTGGAAAGCCACCGCCGAGAACAGAAGCTACAACTCCGCTGCTCTTCCTTTTTCACCAGAGTGGAAAGGCTGAAAGTTTTTTACGATGCATGTAGCGCTGAGACATAGGGTCTCAAACACGCGGCCCACAAGCAGTGTGCATGAGACCCTTGGTGTATAGTTTCTGGGTATGAAAATAAGGAGCTGAGGAGCGACAGGAACACTGGTAATATTCAAGCTGTAGCTATGAATGTTTGATGCCATTCAAAGGGGCCCTGCGATCATATTTAAGCATCTATCTTTTTTGCGGTTTCCAGATCTCTTGGGGTACGGGCAAGCCAGCGGGCACGGAGAGAGTAATTAAATAGCAGTGTGTCATATTTTAACCGGACGACGCAGAAACCTCCTTCACCGACGGGGGCGACCCGCGGTGCCGAAAGCACGCGATATGTGACATTTTTGGTCCTGGCCTTACTACTGGTGAGAGCCGCTAAAAGCTTTTTTTTTTAGTCGAAATACAAAATATAACTGGTGCAAACCGTTTCAATTATTTATGAAAGCAGTTTTTCTTCAGTAGTTTAGATCAGAAAAGAAACAAATGCAGTTTGTAAAGTACGGAAACAAGAAATGATCCGTCGACATACCCTCCACCAAGCAGTGGAAAAGGCGGCACATACTAGAAAGGGGTAGTGGGATCGGGCACCGACGAGGGTTGAGCGTAGAAAGGTCCCGGATCTACGCGGCGGCGCTGCGGTCAAGGATCCGACCGGTTCCGAGCGTTCCGAAGGCCTTCGGCTTATTCGGCGAGTAGGTTTGGCGGTATGGCAGCGTGAAGTGGCTCCCATTCTGACTGATCTTTACCCCGTGTTTGGTATTGTTTGCAGCCGATGAAGTGTCATGCTGAATTAGTGTTTAATCGCGCAGCAAATGCAATGCGAGCCGCCCTGGCCGCCCGCTTCATACAGCCTATCCAGCACATGCTTTAGTGGCGCCCTCTCGGGCCACTGACACAGAGTGCACCAACCGTCAGCGCTCGCTGAGTTTACTCTAGTTCACGGCCACTCAAGCAACCAAGGACGTCATGAAGGAGGTTATTTTTTTTTTTTTTTAATTTTAATTTGCCTATAACTTTTGAAATAAAGCGAAATTCGAGAAAAGAAAAGTTGATTAAATTACTACGTTCAGTGCGCTCAGGTTCGGTGCAAATTAAAAACCAGTCAAAAAGTCCTTGCAGGGCCCCTTTAAGTCAGACCCGAACTGGCCTAAGCATGGAATGTGACTTTGTTGCATAAGCACAATAAAGAATACACGTTGCTCCTATGCTAATACTTCACTTTATACAACCTCTACCTTATGTATAGCGTAAACTGAATCTGAGCAATAGTCTTTTTTTCGTTAAGGGACTTGAAAGACAAGTTTATTCATCCAGAAAACTTCTTTGTATAAAAGGATGCATACGGTGCAGAGAGAGGCCCATACAGCCTGCAACATGGTAGCACCACTGTTGGAAAGCTGCAGGTGGCTTCTACATACATAGACCATGTTCCAAATTCTACCCGTGTCTAGCACTTTTCAATCTGTGTTGTCACGTGACACGACCCGCCGGAATAACTCGGATCCATTTGGGTAAGATTTGGAACACAGCCTTAAAGACTACCTATGATTGTTTATACCTGTCTACCCTGGACTTGACATCCTATACCCTGCAAACTACAGGGTTTGCCAAAAGAAACCGTTTTGATGTCTTTTGTCGCAGATAATTGCAGCACACAGAGGCTTGACCAGCATATAGCCCCAGGGCTGTTGACTAGATGTGTATGCCTTAACCAAATATATTATATGAATATATGAAGCTAGAAGCAATTTTTTAAAGATCTTGAAAGAAGAGGTATCTTTTCCATTCACTGCAGATGTGAGCCATCCACTTGACTCTGCAGTTCAGGGATCATGGTACATGAAGTGCCACTTCTTTTCCTTTACTTTCACAGTTATTTTATAAGCAGTTGAACTATCCTCATGTATGAGCTGCTGTGACAAGTATTCTAGGTATACACCTTCTCCACAAGGGCACAGCCAGCTTGAATATGATCACTTCTGGTACGCCTTAAAACATTGTTTTGATCTCTCCATGCTGCTGCAAGGTGTACATGAAAGATGCGTGATTGTGAGACATTCTTGTTTTTCCTCGCCTATATTTTCTCGCATATTCCAGGTTGAAATGTCTTATTATTTTTTTGCCCGCATACCAGATACGGAACCCACATGACTGAGAATGAAAGGAAACGAAAAACGTCTATAGTCTGCTGCCAACGGCATAGGCTGCTCTTTTATTAAATATTTTCGGAAAACCGATTTGGACTTTTGATTTTGGTAATGTATTGGGCTGAAACTTTCTCATCCAGCCATCACCACCGAAGCTATTAGATCAACTAAGTTGTTCTACTAAAGCAACTTTGTTGTGGTTCTCAATTTTAGTGCAGTTGTATACTAAACAAAGGGGCTTTGATTGAATGTCTGAGGTATGCATTTGTAGGATATATGTTAAATAGTATAATTTAACTTTGTGCTGTCCAATAAGATAGTGTAGAGAAACTCAGGTGCAAAGTGTATATGTGAAGGTTGACAGTAAAATTGTGTTTTTAGGTCTAGAGTCGATGACTCCAGAGGAGAGGAGCCAAATCGAGGACCAGGTGGAGCAGGCTGTGCTCAAGAAGCTCAAGGAGCAGATCCCACCTTGGAGGCCGCTCAAGTGGGTGATGGTTGCTGCCGGCTTGATGCCGTAATACCAAACACCGAAATCAAGCACTTCTTTCACTCAGGCTACTTCAACAGGCATGATTTCTAGCTATCTTTTAATTGATTTCCAAATATTTTCTGCCCCTCCTGAAGGCCATTAAAGTAAGGGGTTCTACTAGTGAGGCAACAGATAAGTGGCATCATTAGGGATCAAAAAGGCTTGAGGTACACCTAAGCACTTCTTATGATTTGTGAATTTGAAAGCATGCACGCCACTCTTCCGCTCCCTTCTGTCATCTGCTTCGTACTTGCGTCGACAGTTAAGCGCGCGCGCTGACCTTGGGCGTGGGGTTGCTGCCTCGCGGACAGGCAGCGCCATGGGGTGGCAGTCGGTGAAAATGACACACAGCGGCTAATGGGAGCCTCGTCGACGCGCACCAGCCAATGGGATTAAAGCCGAAATCCATCAGTTTTACCCCGCTCCTTTGGGATTGGGGAAACTAGGTGCCACTATCTAGGCTTTTCACATGGTTTTATAACTGGGAGCTGGCTTCACTTGGAAAAAGAATTTAAGGTACGGTTTGGCACGCTTCAAACTGATGACGTCGGCTCGCTCCACGGGACAGTTAACGCTTTCGCAATAATAGGAATGGGCATGGACTCAGATCTACGTATGACTCATATAATGCAAAAGTTACATTTCAGTGAGGGAGATCAGAATCTGGTTGCACTCTAAGTTCCACGTTTTTTAAATGTTCCGGTAAACCCCTCTAGCTGGCTTCAGTAAGACAGAAAGACAGACCCCACTATACACCTTTCCAAAAAATACTCGACCCCAGGGGCAACAAACCGTTTTCGAGCCCAGTCACTGAGTTTGAGGCTAGACTCTCACCGGCGTCCCTCCTAACCCTAACCGAGTGGACTGTGATTTCAATAGGCGCCGCCTGCGTAGGCGCAGTTTCAAGCACTGCTGGCGGCTAAATTCTCGTATTTTCCCGCTATATTTTGTGCTTCATGGTACATGTATTTTCCTGAGGACATTGAGAAAGCATTCTGCCACATTTGAAAAAACAAAAAAAGCAAAAAAAACAACTAAACTATTTTTGTTGGGTACGCGCGCGACAGAACGAATGCGACTTATTTGTTTTTTTCTTACGATAAGCTTTGACGGCGCCGCAGGATTCGCCGCATGTGAAACGACAAAGCGCTTTGCTGTCAAAAATGAATTGCAACAGAAGAGGGTCGATAGGCATGCATTCTTCAAGCTCACAAATAACGTGTTTACGGATGGACAGGACACGGACATACAATTGAGGAAGTGGTAACATTCGAACGGTATATCGTACAAACCACACGATGCAGCGTTATCCGAAAAGAATTTATTTGAGAAAGATCTCAAATAACACAGTCACAGTCGACGACAGTCACATCTTGACGATTTGACGGAATCCGGGATGACTTCGTTTTGGGGCACGTTTTGAGGAGAACTTCCTTTTTTCACAACCGCACCAAGGCAAAGAAACAAACGCGACTGACCCGTTTCTCACCCCAACCCGGACAACTATTTTTGGAGATGAGTTATGATTCTACGCGGATTGTCTTTGGGAGGGGGGAGAACAATATTCGCAAAATTGCGTCGAGGGTCGTTCGACGTCCTTCACCTCCTTCGTTTCCCGTGAGTGTCGAGCAGAAAAGCTTGAATGGCAGGCACTTACCAGCCTTATTTCTCACAGTGGAAGATAACATAAAAAGGGTACGCAGCACGCATAAAAAAAAATTAAGTGGAAACTTTTCAGAGGGGCGAGGAAACGTCGAATGCAAAACCGCAAAAACGTAGGTAGAGAACCGCGCCGAGCGGGTCTTCACAGTCCCAGAGAGCGGCAGAAAATTTCTAGCTGACAGAGGGCGCGAGAGTCGCACCAGCCGCATCAGCAACATGGCGGCGGCCTAGGAGCGTTTTTTGGAAAGGTGTATACTATCCACAAGGCTGCTCATTTCTTTGGAAACCATAGCTTATCTCAAATCTTTCTCTGTTCAATACTGGGACTTTTTCGAAGTATTTGAGTAAGTTTCACATTCCTCAGTGGTTGAGGAATGCTATGCCCACTTCCGGTTTTCTTAAAATAAACCCTTCTTAGCACCAATTTCTTTTCTTTTCTTTTTGTTTTCTTACAACACTGAAATCTGACATTTAAAAGCATGGAATACTTATGTAAGGAGAATTAAACCTCGAAAAAATGTCCTTAAAATCAAAGTAAAGTAAACCCTGAAAACGTGGAACACTTGTTTTGAGCCTTATATCGGAGAACAAAGCTACTATTGATGGTTCTCAAGAACTGTATGCAAGCATTGACGAATGAAAAAAAAAAAAGGACGAGTGATATTTTTATGTACTTGTGTTCTTTTCCTTGCGTATGTGTGTGTGTGTGTAGCAAATCATATTTTTGTTGCAGCTATGACGAATTCGGGTCATACACCTACTTGGTGGGACGGCTTGCTGCTGACTATGCAACAATAAGGGCTGTGCTCGCAGAGGTACGCCCCTTTGGTGCACAATATGTGGGGAACCCTCCTTTTTCTATAAATGCATGAGTGCTCTTGCAAGAAGTATGGAACGTGAGAATACTCTGGAACATGCTACCTTTAGGAGCTGCAGATATGTCTGCCGTTGTCATTCGCAGCAGGGTCTTGACACTATTTTCAGAGTGGATTTACCACCTGTCGTATATCTATTCCTACATAGGAGATGGCCTAACCCAGAGTAGGGCTCTGTGCTGCTGTTTTTTCCCTTTGTCATTTAGACTTTTTTGTTTTGCTATTTTAAATTTTCACCAAGCCTTTCTGCTGAGAGGTGGCATTTTGTCTGTTTAAAATTTGGTTGTGTCACTTGAGTATTCGGTCGGTGCCTTAGGTTGTGTTTCTCTTAAACACAATCATCATTGCCAATTAAAGAAGAAATATGCAAATTGCCATAATTGCAAGGTAGTTCACCCTCATTTTCCCTTTAATTTTCAGTTAAAAAGATGCCAAGATAGCTTATTCCTAGTACTGATCACTTTAACGGGGCTGTAACGATTTTTGTTATGTGACAGCAGTCTGTGTTGTAGCAGTGGTAATGGCTGCTACTTTGACGGCTTAGAAGATAAAGTGATTCTGTGAAGCAATGGTTTATTCATGGCTTGGCCAAGCCCAGCCCATGCCTGAATCAATACATGCTTTGCATGTGACGTCATATGGCACCTTACCAGCCGCCATTGCTCCGTACCATGCTCCTTTGCCCATGCATTCTGCAGCATACATTTTGTGCCATTGAATTTGTTCTTCACGCCAATCCTTGCCGAGGAGAACAGATGCGGTGGCGCCAAATGTATGCTGCAGAAGGTGCGGGCACAGGAGCATGGTACGGAGCATTGGCGGCTGATGTGACGTCAATGCAATCTTTGTTAAGGATTTATATCTGCGTTGAAAAAAAACTTTCAGCCTTTCCACTTTGGTGAAAAGGGAAGACCAGCGAAGCTGTACTATGGTGGGAATGAAGTAATGGCCGGTCGCAAGTTGGCAAACCAGAGTGGAAAGGCTGGAAAGGTTGCCGCCATTTATGAGCAACGGCGGCAACCAGACAGCCGGATTGCCGGTTGTTGGGTTGCCGGTTGTCGACTTGCCGGTTGTCTGCTTGCCACCATTGCTCATAGATGGCGGTAGCTGTCCAGAGTTTTGTGTCATAATTTGTTTCGCTGGCAGACACAATCCTGGGGAAACTAGCCCTTGACAACTCAGCTGTAAAATGTTTTCAAGCTTTCATTGGGGCAGACTAAAAGTTAGCCCATCCCTATTCTTTCTTCCTATTTGACCTCTATGGAGAGCAGGTTGTCTTTTGGTGTAACAAAGTTGATATTAAAAATGCTGTACATGTGCCACACAAGAAAAAATGATTTGTAATCCAAACTGGCCTATACTGGGGATGTGACCACCCCAGTTTTTTGTGCTTGGTGAGGGTGAGACATGTGCACTCCTATGTTCACTCGTGGCTGAAACACACTTCATTATAATGTTTTTTTAATTATAGTGTGCACCCAGTGTAAAGTCTCCAGGGTCAAACTGCAGTTGAAAGAAAAATGTTTTCCTTTAAATAATTCACACTCAGTGCATAGCCTACACATAAAACAATTCTCATACACAGCACACTTGGGAAAATGCCTGCCTTGTTTGCACACAGAGAAGCTTGTATCATCAGAAATCATCATTATCATAATCTCATTCACAAAGTTTGTCATGTCTCGTCATAATGAACGATATTGAAAAAACTAATCCTTGCCTAGTCAGAACCGCATGAAATTTCAACTTTTAGACATGTATATCCTGCAAATTGTTTTCCGGAAAATATGGTACCCAGAGGATTTCTGCAGGAATGTCATTGACCGTGGCATATGTTCCTCATATTTTGGGTCCCACGCAAATTCTGAAAAACTCCGATTGTAAATTGAATGGTGCCATGTTAACAACTGCACCGTTTGCCTGCTCCAGATTCGGCACCAAAACCCTGCATTTGCACCCAAGTCGCTTCTGGACTTTGGGTCGGGCATTGGAACTTCTTTTTGGTAAGGACCATTTTAGTTCTTTTATTTAATATGAAAAGTTGTTGCTTTGCTGCATGCCCCACCCAGAGGAGTAGCGCAGCGCCAAAATTCCAAAAACACGGATCTACATTTAATATTAGATGGACGAGACGATTAGTGTAACATTGAAGAGTTTGGCAAGTGCCCTTGAAGAAAGCCCCCACACAGCGGTGACTGTACAGTGGTGCCATTTGGACGCCTGCAGAGTAAAGTTAACAATCAGTGCTGTCTAAGTAAAATTAAATGGAAATAAAAAAGTGTTCATATTTTTTTTAATAAGCATATAGTAAACTCTGGCGAAACTGCATTGCATGCAAGAATGATTGGTAAGACTTGGGAGGAGCTGCACAAAACTGTTTCCTTCTGTGGTGGTCTTGTCATATCATTTTTGTTTTCAGTAACTTCAATTTTGGGAACTCCTAATTCTTCTAATCTTACGAACTTCATTATCATCTAATCTTTAAGGGCGTGTTAGAAGCATCTACAATATACTACCAATGACTTTATCATGGTATGAAGCTGGGCCGATGCCAGATAATGCAGAGTATGTCAGATATGAGTCAAAATAAACAGGCATTTCTTTTGGCTAGTTTGATTGGCACATTAACTACGATAGTCATTGTTCTTTGACTCTTGCCTCGATCGTGTGACGAGACATGGCTCATTTAATTTTGATTGGACAGGGCAACAAGAGAATTTTGGCCACATGAGCTTCAAGAGTACTTCGCTGTCGACGTCTCTGACGATATGAACACTCTCGCCAGACTTTTGGTCCAAGGTAGGTCTTTATTTCATACTCATTTCCTCAAAGCATTGCTAGTTTGCTGCTGATAATGGCCCTGTTTTACCGTATTTACTCTACTAATAGCCGCACTGTTTATGAACAAAACCTGAGGGTTTGCTTTTCCGCGGAGCACGCGAATTGCCAATCACCGCGATCGACGGCATGATTCCAGCGGTTTACAGGACAGAGATAACGTCTTCGCGCGAAGATATCATCTGTGAAGGTTGCATTTGTAAAGAGACTCGTGTTCTTGATGTAGTTATTCGCTATGTTATTTAGAGTAAACTTTCGTTAATTCGATCTCGACGGGACCTTGAAATTTGGTCGTATTATCGAATGATTGAATTAAAAAAAAGGACCGAAAAACGGTTAAAATAAACATTCTTATATTGTTCAAAGTACTCACGGATGGTCTGCTGCCGTCTGCGTTTAAAACGCTTGTCCAAAAGCATGCTCCGGAGTGCAGCGTGACTAAACGTCATCCCCAAAATATCGCCTACTAAAAAAAAAAAAAAATGAAAAAAATAAGTTTTACGCACTGACTTTGGCGCCAGGCAACCGAGACCGTCGGGGGAAAAAAAAAAAAACCATGAATAGAGAATTGCACTTATCGAGGCGCAAGATGGACCGCACACGATGCTACAGAAAAGCGCTTTGGGAGCGCGCGCTGAGAAAGCTTTACGAGCCGACTTTGGCGCCAAACTACCAGACTGTCGAGGACAAAAAAAATATAAATAAATAAACAACAACAAGAGGAAAAAAGAACTTGAGTTTTCTGGCGCGCAAGATGGACTGCACACAATGCTACAGAAAGCACTTCGCTTTGAGAGCGCCGCGTTGTGTTCGCGCCTGACCACGTGCTATGTTCTCCGCGCTACTCGGTGAATTACGCTCGCAGATCTCGTGTCATTCGTTACGGTCCATCTCAATGGCGTAGAGAAGCAGGTGCATATTTGCGCACGTTCGGCTTTGCGGCAAAGGGCCTGTGTTTTGCCGTACGTTGGCGGTTTTTCTGCCGTGGTGCCGTGCAATGTGAGCCGGTGTGCATTTGCTCAGGACGAATTATCCGATGCGGAGCCTTCCCGAGTTCGAACTATCGAACATTTCCTCCCATAGAAATGTATGGGCACTCGCCAGGACTTTTGAACACGATTGAATTAAATGAATAGTCGAATTAACTGAGGTCGAACTAACGAAAGTTTACTGTATGCACAACGCGAGGATTGGCTGTCTATCTGCTTTGCGGGAAAGTAGACGCCAGGGCCTTGTTCATAGATATGCGGCTATTACTCGAGTAAATACAGTAATTACTCTTCTGAAAAATAACAGCATTTTTTGTAGCTCTGCTCAACTTTTTGTTGCAGTAAAATTGTTTAATGGGTATTTCTTCAGCTGGGAAAGGTGACAAGTAATTTAAAAACTTAAGTAACTGTAGGCCGCAGTTTCAATGCAGGTATTGTAGATCTTTATTTAAAATAATGTGCCATGTCTGGTAGTCTTCAGACTGTGTGTGTCTTTTTTGTTTTTAATCTTTTACAAACTTTTATGGCATCATTTCAAGTTCTCTCAGCTGCAGGTTTGTATTCGATAGTTCTCCCGGGCCTATGTGTTTGGCATCAAAAACCATGATGGCCATAGCTACAGTGTTTGCATTTTTATTACCGAATTCAGGTGGGAACCCAAATGCCGAGGTGAAGTTCCGGGGTTACTACCAACGTCAGTTCCTACCAGCAACTCACAAGGTGGGATCGGCTTATTTATATTGGTGGCAAAGGGCCTCACAAGCCGACTCCACTTCCAGATCAAATTTGATCTAGTCACAAGTGCCTTCTCGCTGCTCGAGCTCCCAAGCACAGAGCATCGGTTGCAGACCGTGGCAAGTTTGTGGGGCAAGACAAACTCCATGCTGGTGAGACCAGTCAGTCAATCCATTGCGAGTTCTCAAGCCCATACAGCAAATACACTGCCATTGCATTGTGGCTGAGACTGATCTAACACATATAATGAAAAGCAAAGCACACAAAGACAGGGACAAAAGAAAGAAGAGTATAACAGACAAGCGCTCCGGTTGTGGGTCTTGTCTCTCTCTTTTTTTTTTTTCTATACTCTGATTTCCATTATGAGCCAGTACCAACTGGCCCAGCTTTCAACACTCCTGATTTAATACACTTGTGTTCAGGTTATCCAAACATTTCTGTTGCCTGCCTAAACTGTGTATAGATAGCAAAGTTTATATTTCGTTAATCAAGTCGGAGCGGAGGGACACTGGGTGGTATGTTCAATTCTGATGAGGACTATTTGGTCAACCGTCAACAGAATTCTCTTTGCAAAGTGTGGATTCGAGATTATGATGCCTTTCTTTGTGGATCCTGAACATTTGCGTGCTTTTCCAGATTGTTCTTTCGTTGCAGAGTTTTTTTTTTTTTTTAATATTTTATGCAGGGTTTCGCATTTGGGCGCTCAGTTTGTGAAACAATATATGTCAAGCAGCGAGTAGAAATCTGTGCCTTACTGTCGAAATAAGAAACAACAAATGAATTTCTGCCACTGGACCTGGAGCGACAGTATCCTGGCATTGTTTTAGGTTATAGTAGAGCCACGGCCGCTGGATCTTCTTTCTGCGCGCTCCCTTCTCCGGCCTCCCACTCCGGTTTGAATACAATAGGAGGACCGTGAAGACAAAGCTTCTCGACTCGGCCGCTTTTTTCCCGGGCGGCGCCACAAAGCGCGACGCCCCGCGTCCCGTGTCCCCTCCGTATCGGCGAGCTCTTCTCCCGTCGTGCTGACTTCTCAGCGCCGCTTTTCCTTGTTTTTCTCCCGCGCCCACGGGCTGCTGTCATCGTTGTTTTTACTCAATGTTCAGATGTTGTTATTTATTCTGCTATTACGCCCTGTTTACGTGACTGTATCTTCAACGCCGTGAAGGATCGTCCGTCGTCGCATCAACGTGCTACTATCATCGTTGTGTTGTGCGCCTTCTGGTGCAAGGTTAGTCACGTTTTTTTACTGACATCTGCAATGTCGTGAAGGAACTGTAGAGCCTGTTCGGTTCATGTGCGCACATCATGCCTAAAAGTTGTTGTGTCCCCCTTTGCCCGTCGACTGACCGAAACAGCCCCGGCGACCACTATTTTGAAATACCAAGCAACGTGGAGCGGCGAGCGGCTTGGCTGAAGCGAATATCAAGGCAAGGCACCGCTAAAGGTAGCCCGTGGCAACCTGCTTCGAGGTCGGTCGTGTGCTCGCGCCATTTTATTGATAAAGACTATCGAGAAGGCTGCAAGAGAAAGCTCCTCCGGTCAAGCGCTATTCCCACAGTGTTTCCGGAATACCCCTCCTACTTGCAGGGCGGTGACTGTCCCAAACGAAGAAAGCTAAGTCGGCAAGAAAACGACGAAACACAATCAGATCGACGTTCCAACCAGGAGCGTGCCAATGAGAATGACAGCCAACATGCAGATGACAGGTCTAATCGAGTAGATGAGCCCCCGGCTGAAACTGATCCCGAGACGGAACCATCGGAAGAGACGACAACAACTGATCAAGAAAGCCAAACCGTGCTGAACGTTGCCGCAATGCTTGAAGAAAACAAAAGGAACACGCACCGCTTGCAGATGAAGGTGAACAGACTAAATTGCTCGATGCAGAAACTTCAAAAAAAGTGTGATGAGTTGAGCAGAAAAGTTCAAGAGTTTGAGCAGAATAAAGCGGTACAAGCTCTCAAGAACATCTTCGCTGCAGCAGACCGAGGGGACAAAACTGCCACTTTTGTGAGACACCAAATAATGTCGTTTGGAAAAACAAGGCCCAGCTATGAGGAGCATGTTCTCCGTGAGTGCGTCCTTTGGAAGGCATGCTCAAGCAAGGGATATGAGCACGTCAAGGCTCGGAAACTGTTCAAGCTGCCATGCCGTAGCACCCTCCAAAAGTTTGTTGGGCGTTCCACCGGAGAAGTGGGCGTCACAACTCTAATCAAAGACCGTCTACGTGCCGAATTTCAGGCATTGAAAATTGACCAAGAAAGGCACTGCTCTCTCATTATTGATGAGATGGCGATACAGCAGAAAGTCGTGTACGACCGTCAAGTGGACAAGATTTTCGGACTAGTTGACATGGGTATAGACTCGTCCGAAGCATCCAGTTCAGGCACGCCCCAAGTAGCAAACAGGCTGTTATGTTTTGTAATTCGCGGGCTTTCGACAGCCTACATTATCCCTGTCGGTTATTTTTTCACAAGATGCCTGAGGAACGACGAACTGAAGAAAATGACATTGAGTGTCATGCAGACCATTGAGGGCGCTGGATTTCACGTCACGAGGATTGTCACGGATAACCACAAGACGAATGCCGCGCTCTTCAGGAGCATGTCAGAAGACAAGACACTGCAGCATGTAATCGCACATCCTTTTCGGGAAGACGACCCTTTATTCTTATCGTTTGATCCCAACCATCTCATAAAAAATTTGAGAACTAATCTGCTGGAGAGAAGCATGTTTGATGGAGATGAGGAGATCCAAGGGGGTCTTTTCCTCAAAGAACTATACGACATCCAGAGTGGCCTTTTGGTGAAGCCGGTAAGGTTTCTGACACGGGCACACGTCGACCCCAGCAACCTCGAGAAAATGAAGGTGTCTAGAGCAACACTCCTATTTTCTCCAGTGGTTATTGGGACTCTTGAGTACCTCAAAGAAAACCCCAGCTGCCATGAAAGGGCGCCTACTTTCGAAGGCTGTGGCGCGACCGTCCGCTTCATGAGAGCCATAGGGAAGTGGTATGCTTTGCACAACATTGGTGGGTGGACCGATCGACATGACCAGGAGCAGCCCTTCATAACTACAGATGATGAAAGACTGTCGTGGCTCGAAGTGGACTTCGTTGAGTACATGGAACATCTAAGAACTTCCGGCGATGGTGCACGCAATCGCTGTATGACGAAAGAAACATATGAGGCGACTATGATGACGACAAGGTCCACAGTGGCCCTCGCCGAGTACCTTCTTGACAACATAAAGTAAGTCTATTATTCACATATAAAATTTATAGCAATATTAGTAACCGTATGCATAATCTCAATTCCTTTCATATTCTTTCCACAGCTTCCGGTACGTCCTAACACGCTGCTTGAACAGCGACCCCGTGGAGTCTCTTTTTAGCTGTTTCCGGCAGTTCAACGGTGGAAACGACAACGTGGACGCAAGGACCGCTGTATTCACTGCAGAGAGGTTGTTGAAGGTATTTGAGCGTGACTACGATCAACAAGTAGTAGATCATTAAAACACTTTTTTTTTGTCAGGTCGGAATCATCGAGGCAGCAAAATCTGGAAATGCGCCAACAAGCTACGATGCCCAGACTTCAGTGCGATCGTCCGCTCCCCAACGTCCTGACGACAACCTTCCACCAGTCATAGAGATGGCAGCGAGGAGGCTCATGAGAGAGCTGAGGTCACCGGACGTTTGTGATCAAGTGTCAGAAAGCCTGGAACTCGCTCCACTAGCCTACGTGGCAGGCTACATAGCGCTTGCTTGTGATGAAAAGGAGAGCCACGTGTTAATATAGTCAGCACCATTAGAAAAGATAAAAAAAAGTTCAGTGAAGATGTTGAGTGGCCACATATTTTATTCACGTGAAGAGCCGAAGTGTTTACTTGAGCGCTTTCTAAAGTTTCTTTAATTTGTCTTAGGTCACCTGTCCTTCTTGCAAGACACTACTTCATCAGCCTCGCACAACGGACAGCCCCTTCAACTTGCTTAGAATTCTCGATCGTGGAGGACTAACGTATCCGACGTTAGATGCTCTTTGGGTGTGCAAGATCACCTGCAGGTTTGTGCAGGACGTGCTGCAGTCCTCTGATGTCAGGCGAAGCAGTCAAATATCGAAGATGTTACTCGCCGCGTTGCTTCCTTGCATGATGTCGTGCCCACTGATGTGGTGCAAAGAAAGGGATTCCCAAGAACATAGCAGGGAACTTTGTGAATTGTTTCTGCGGAAGCTGCTCAGGCCACTCTTGGCTAACTGGACTGGAAACGTCAATGACTCCCTCGATAGATATATGAAGCTTTATCACAAGCCACTTTCACGAAAGGTCTTACGGTTGTAAGGTTGTGTTTCAACGAACACAATTCTCGCAAAGTTATTGCGGTGATTACGTTAAAGTTTTCCGCATAATAAACAGATATTTTCATTTCTGATTTGTTTTCTTCTCACAAACTGCATCCTCACGGAGCACACGAGAGCTGAAGTGGCTCCGAAAGACGGGGCCAGGCACGACACGCTAGTACGATCAGATAAGGCACTGGGGGTAGAACAGGCGCGAAAAATCCGCGCCATTGAAAAAAAGAGGACGAGGCTGCTTTTTTTTGCAGGGTGACACAAGAATAGAAGAGTAATGGCCCATAAAAATGTCGCGTGGAATGGGTCTACCGAAATCGAACCAAGAACGAGGAAGGGCACTGACGTGTCGTGCCGACTCAACCCGCAAAGCACGCAGCCGTCGGCCAAAAGCGGGCGCACATAGCCGCGAGCGGCCGGGAGGATCTCCCGGTACCTCCGCCCGTCACGCTCTCCAGCGCCCTCACCAGTAACGCGGCGAATAACGCAACTAGCTCGGTATCTTCCTCCGGAGGGCGCATCGGCAAGCCGGAGAAGGGAGCGCGCAGAAAGAAGATCCAGCGGCCGTGGTAGAGCAGTCACGGATTCAATTCCAATGTCCTATTTGTGTCCTTCAGAAGCTGATGCAGTGGTTTCATACCAAACTTCTAAAGCTCTGCAGGTTTAATTGTGGGTTGTTCTTAAATTACAGGAGCGTGCAACATAATTGCCTCTCACTCATGCCTCTTTGAATCGAAGGGCAGCATTGTTTTCTATAACTGTGACATGTAAACTCATATTGTGCATGATAATGTATACCTTTTTACTTGTTACCTACTTAGGGATAACATATTGATTACCCATGAATAGGTCATCATACAATTTTGGTGTTGTATCTTTTGTGTTGGGCCATATGCTGTTATTCTGCTCCACACTTAGTCGACAGCGCAAATCATAGACTTTAGACACATGTTGAGCAAATTTATCAGGGGATCTCTCATTGCCACTGGGAAAAATGATGCACAGCCAAGATAATGCACAACCAAGATAGAAGCAGGATCTATTGTGCCACTCGCATGATTTCTCACAGACCTGATCTGGCTCTGCAGAAACAGATTGCAGATTCACTTCAAGTGTAATTACAAAATGACCGCATATCCACGTGGTGAAGGATGTTGATTGGGGCGAAGCTCTGGTGGTGCTGATGATACTGATTTTGTTGTTCATAGGTAGTGCTGATGGTGCTGATTTTTTTTATTGCTCATAGGTAGTGCTGAGTTCCGGGTTGCGTTTCGACTTCATTATTACTGCTTTATGGTCGGTGAAATGCAGAGCCAGTGGTTCTTCTAGCGGATCAACTTGGATCCGCTAGAAGTCGTGGGAACGCATCTTCACCACTTAAGTCAACGGTCCATGTCAGAAAGAGAATGTGTGGTATGGAACATGGTTATATACGCATTTGAGCATTTGACCGCAGCACCCTCTCGTCTATAAACGTTGAGCCAATGCATGCAAAGTTTAACACGATTATATAAGCATTTGACCACAGCGCCCTCTCCTGTATAGTCGTTGAGTGGCTACATGCAACGTTTCGTCCATGACAGAAACCCCAGCTCTTGAGTTACTACCATATCTCAGAGCCCCCTACTCGTCCCGCAGTCGTGGCCAAGTGGTTAAGGCGATGGACTAGAAATCCATTGGGGTCTCCCTGCACAGGTTCGAATCCTGTCGACTGCGCAAACATTTTTTCTTTTTATGTGAGCTCGGACGCCGGATGGACGGACGGACAAGGCTAGACCCTAAGGAGCTTCGCCCCTAAAAGCACAGGCAAAGCTAAAAGTAAGACTAGTGAGAGCAGCAAACAAAGTGACATGTGACGCAAGGCATCACTTGAAGCATATAGCTCGGACCAATCGTATGATTCAACATACTTGAACAGGCTCAAGTAATCTCCGTTTTGATAGCAATAAATGAATTTTGCAAGTTCTCGAGATAAGCAAGGCAAATAGAATTCAACCTCGAAAGGCGGGTGATGGGCATCTGCCTTCACTAAAGGGTGTGACGAAGCCATCAGTGTTCCAATAGGGAAGCTCGATAAAAGCAGGCCAAGTGTGTTGCTTGCAGCATTCTTGAGATCATTGTGCTGGAAAAGCCCATAAAAATCGACAATCGGCAAAAACCAAGAAGCCTTGCTTACTGGAAGGTGATCACACCGATCGAAACTGCCAATAGTCCAGTCTACGCCCGGGAGGTTAAAGTCGCCATATATTTGCACTTTGAATTTTCTGAAATCAATTTCCTTTGTCAAAGCGTCAAAGTGTGAAATAAAGGGTGTGCACTGTGATTTAGGTGGGAAATAATAGTTTCCAATAAGATAATTAGAACGGTTGCGTAGTAAGATCTCAAGCCATACGCACTCATCGCAAGTCTGAAGGTCACTTCTGTGGATCGCCTTTAACTTGCTCGAGACTGCAATTAGCACCCCTCCGCCGAACCTTTGACCAGTGGCGCCATAGTCGCGGTCCTGACGAAATACAGTGTAATGTGACAAAAAATATTGTGAATCAAGAATTTCAAGACGTAACGGAGTCTCAGTAAGACAGATAATGTCAAAAGAGGAAACCGCAAGGTTAGATAAAAATTTGTTTGCCTTCATTCTTAACTATAATTTTCTTAACAGTGCAACAGAAAATTCATACTATTTGGCGGCCGTGCAATGCGTGATTCAGCGTGATCGTGGCCTACGGATAAGAGTATGATTTCGTTGTGCTCTTCACTTATTTTTTTTTTTGCTGAGGTCCAATAGGTCGAAGGTGCCCTCGACACAACTTGAAGTGAAGTCGATACATTTAGAAAAACTAAGGCATGCCAATTTTATGTTCTTTTCCCTTGCTAAAGTATTGATTGCCCATGCTTAAAAGTCAAGCCATAGCCCTACAGTCAACCTAGTGGCTGACAGAATGAGGATGGCAGGGCCTGTTTTTCGAACCCCCAGCCTCCTGCATGTGCTTCGTGGCTTTCGCCGGGCTTTCGCAGCACGCGCACCCTCGAGGTGCACGAAACTACGCGCTGTCGAAACTAGGAAGCTCGCGCTGGAGGCAAGACAACTGAAGCTTCTCCCTTCTGTTACAACCCTCTGAGTGACCGTACTCATTAAAGTATGTGAAGCGTACCCAGCCCCACCACATCTGCCCCTTCCAGTATGTGCAAATAAAATTATTGTTATTAGCTGTGTTTTTTTTTAGTTTTTTTTTTACTGTTGTTGTACAAGCAAAATGTAATATCCTGCTCTCTTCTCTACTTCAGGTTCTCATCGAAAATGGAACACTGGAAGGCCACAGAGCCGTGCTAGAAGCTCGGGACTTCATTCTCACGGCAAGTAACTCTGATTAGCAACTTTACTCGATTGCCGTAATATCCCGCGAGACAGCCCACCTAAGATTAGAAGTTAAATTCAGTGAAAGTAACAAATGGGCTAGCTTTTGATGCACAACCAAAGAAGGTCTTGAGAAATCGTAGCTGGTCCCAGAATGCAGTTTTTTAAAAAGAAAGATAATGTGAAAATCAGTTTATTTGCAGATTATTTGCCAAGCTTGTCATGCGTGCAACCAATTTTTTTAATGCTAAAGCTTTGAACGAGCTGAATTTTTCGGATGTCGCCGGGGAATCGTCACTCACCCCGTAGGGTTCCTGTATTACAGTGACTGAAATTCCAAGCTCCTTCCAACTCATTGCTCAATTTAAAATTTTTTTTTTAGTCTGTTCAAAAGGTTTGCAACTTTTGCCAACAAGGTTGCCGCCATTTTGTTTTTGGCTCGTTGCATGGAATGAAGAAGCTGGATTGATGCTACAGCTTAGTGTTTCAGTTCAGCCAAAATTCTGCAGGTTTTTCTTTAGTTGCCATTTGTCACCATGTCACAGCTGTCATTCTTTTTTTGTTTTCTGAATGCTAGCGCTTTCTTTTGATAGGTCTAATAACAAAAGCGACTGCCGAACATGACCTCCAGGCAGCTCTCAAAGGCGGTGGTGACGGCACCATTCGGAGCAGGAGCCGGCAATCGCAGCAAATGCAGCTAGATAACAATACCCTGTTTCTGCTGAGATCACCTGTGCTGTGCAATTTCTAGGAGAGGGTTAACTTTTGGCATTTTTGCATAAATAGAAAATGATGCAAGAAAAGTTGTCCTTTTGCCATGGCAGTGGTAACACAGAATGTGATGTGTTAGTGTGTAGAAATTGTGTATGCAATTACAGACTAGATGGTGTAAAGCAGCCCTGTGTCATGTACAGTACATGCGTGAGTGCATTGTGAACATCTTACTTGGGGGTGTTACTTCAGCGGTGGCAATGTAAATGCAACTTTCTTAAAGTCGGATTGGGAGACACAGCTGGTGGAGCATGCAGAAAACAGGAGAGTTAGGACGCAGCAGTGCTGCTAGCTCGCAGCTAAAGAGAACCTAATGCTCGAACTAACTCAACCCATTGCAGCAAAGTGGACACGTGTAACTTAGCAACTGCTTGTTTTTCTTTCCTGTCTCTCTCTCTCTTGCACTCTTTCTCTGGGGAAACCGGAGCGCGCCCGTTTCACGGAACAGAGATGCACTTGAGGAAGATGTTTGACTGGCACTGGTGCCCAATCAGTGAGGAGACGAGCACTGCATCAGCATTTGGCTGGCAGTTGGCTTATCAACTTCCCTCCCTGGCTGAGGAATGAAAATCATTAGGTGCCAGCCATATAGCACACTTTGTGCTAAAACCAGGGTTTCGGGGGTGGGCCATCTCTTGGGATTTAATGGTAACCATACAGTTAGGTCCTCCTGTAGCAAACTCCTCGGAGAACTTGCTCGCAAGGGGGGGGGAGGGGAGGGGTTGGCTGATATATTAAAATGTATTTTGACTTCTTCACAGCTGTTTGTTTTATATGGAATGCATTTTATGACCTAGTGCAACACAGCCTTCAAAGCTTTAAATATGACCATCACGATGATGGTGGCCACAATTCGATGAGCGGGATGTTTGGTAACAACAATATATTTGCATCACATCCTCGCGATATACGAGGTGTTCTGCGAAAGCTTTCAAATATCCCTAAAAATATGCTGTTAGTGATAAAAAAAACTTTGTGCAGGACCAAACTACGAGCCTTAGCAAACGTCAAGGATTGCAGAAACATACTAATTAGCAAGATAATTGATTAATTAGTTTGTTTAATTAGTTAAAATAAACATTTGGTTCCACTGAGAAACTTGTTGAATATCATTAAATCAACTTTTTTAGAAAGATGTAGGCAGGGGCAGCATTTCACAGCGTTCCGTAAAGACACTCAATTTGGACGCATTTCGAGGTCTCGGTTTCTTATCGAAGCGCATCTCTGCGCCCGCAGTCCTGCTCCCAAGTGGCCGAGACGCATAACACACGTGCGCCATACTTCCCTCCATTGACGAGGGAGGCGAGGCAGTGGCTGCACGCTGGGGAGCAGGACTGCGGGCACAAAGATGCACTCCAATAAGAAACCGAAGCCTGGAAACACGTTCAAACTGAGCGATTCTTCAGAATGCCATAAAATGCTGCCCCTGCCTTATATTTTTCTAAAAACAGTTGATTTAGTGGATTTATTTCAATGAAGGTTTCTGTTCACAATAAAGTTTTAGCTGAGTTTTAGCCATTCTCTTTCTCTTCACTTGGTGTCAACTTTCGTATTTCCTCAGTCTTAAGTTTCTTCAAAATCTTCATGTTTCGCAAGTTTTTAAGCGGAACCATATGTGTATTTTCACTCATTAAAAAAATTAATTAGTAAATTTTAGTTAATTATCTTGCTAATTTGTATGTTTTTGCAATCCTTGACATCCTCCAAGGCTAGTAGTTTGTTCCCCCTAAGAGTTTCTTTTTATCTTGAGCAGCATATTTTTGGGATTTTTGAAAGCTTTTGCAGAAACACCTTATATATAAATAAAGTTTAAGGTACCTAATTGCTGTGTCTTCTTAACCATTTAAAGACTGGTTAGAGCTGGAAGTATGTCATTATAAGACATTCACAAGCAGCTGTTGTGGTCCTGACTCAATTGTAAAACTGATATTATCAGAGAGCTCAATAATTGGATGCACATGGAGGCTTAGTAACTACATATACTCCGCGACAACTTTTCTTGGCAATGCAGCGGAAGGTACAGGCCTGCGTCCCCTCTCCCATTTTGAGTGTACGCAGGCTCTCCTCCTCCCCCATTTCTGGGGAGAGGAGAAGAGCCCGCGCACACTCAAAATGGGAGAGGGGACGCGGGCCTGTACCTTCCACTGCATTGCCAAGGAAAGGTGTCGCGGAGTATAGCATTAACTGATGAACTGTGGTAAATTAGTGAGAAGTGCAGATAATATTTCGCTTTGTTTCCAGCAGTACAAATGACATTATAGGACCTGAACATAATCCACATTTCATAGCTCTTTACACTCTTTATGTCGATAGTGTTGGGTTGTCTTTGTGCTCTGCAGGAAATTAGGCACACGGACCATTGTGACAATGCATACATTCTTTAGAGCTTCGGAAATGACTGCTAAGAGCCATCTCCGAATCTTTGTTTTACTAATCGTATAATGTTTTTTAGATGTGTTTCTAAGGCTTTTCACGCTTTGTAGCCTTTTCCTGGCCAAGCTAACTTCATGAATTTACCCTCCCCAGACCACCAAAAAAGAGGATCCAGAGGGTTGTGGTGCTAGAGTCCTGGCTCCTGTGAGTAAAGCCTATTTCTTCGGTGCTTTTTGTGTGTAATCTGTACTGTTTACCCACATAGAGGGGAATAGCCCACTTGTCTTCTATGCCATAGAGTCATCACAAAGAACCAGATCTTAAACCTTTAAGAAATCCTAATTAAAGCACTCTAGTAGCACTTTAATTAGCCAACTGAGGATACCGGGTTATTCCACTGTCTGGTGTGTATTGAACCCCATAAATGCACAGTACAGGAAGTGTCCATATAATGGGCACCTTCTTTTTTTTTTGTTTAAGTATCTTTACCGGTTGAAAACAGTCACTCTGTGTACATTTACCTGACATGCTATATAACTGGCATCACCACACTGATTCTCTTCACCATGCGTGGTGAACTGTGTGTACGCTTCATAACAAATGTAATGCTGACCACTATTGGCGCATCCAGAATTTTCATCTGGGGGGTTTGTGGAAAATTTGACAACTGATCTGCGGTGAACCCAGAGGGAAAGGGGAAGAAGGAGGGAGGGAGAGTACGGAAAGGGAAAGGCAAGGGGGAAGAATTATAAAGCTATGCAAATTTTTTATTGATTTCTTTCCGAGCTAAAGCTTGCGATTCGATTGAACGAACTTCGACGTGCTGTATTTATATTGCCGTGCTGCACCTGCAACTCGGAAATCACCCAATTTCGGAATATTTCGCTGGCACAGATTTTTATGATCCATGGTGTAGTTGTTACCATGGGGTGAATTATTCGCGAGACAAATTCTTTGTGATTATTTTCAAATCACAAAATTGCCAAAACGCAGGTTTTAGTGAAAACCAAGTTGTTTACCCCATACTCCACTCCACGTAACTTTGCAGACGACAAAAGCTATGGCTCTTGTGACCCAATGCGAGCTGTCAGAGCCAACCTCGTGTCCTCCCGGTGCTGTATTGCCGCATGGCTGTGCCTCCCATGGCCATCGTGTATGAGAAAAAAAACTCTGCTAGCTAGAGGCAAAAGTAATTTCGGTAGTCTTAAAAAAAATCTTCCAGTAATGTAATTACTTGGAAATTAATAAAATCATTGACCTAAATACCCCTTGGGAAGGAAAAGAAAACATTTGAAACATTATCCTTATATAATTATAAATTGTAATCTAATCTGATGAATTCAGCACACAAGTTTTGGGCAACAGAAGGGTAATGATCCCGAAATAGCCCCACTTGCCAGCGTAGATCCAGAGATCATTCGGATAAGTGGCTTCAGGGATCGGAAAAGGCTCAACACTGACGGATTGATTAGATGATTCTGCTAAAGATGATAGCGTCTGCTGGATCACTGGTTTGTGAATGCTTGGAGTTGCACATTCCGGTGTTGATGCAAAGTCCATGGATTCCATATCTCGACTCTTTATTGAAAAGTGGGTAAACATCATATTTGACTTTTGCTTCAGGCAGCTTTAGGTGGTGTAACTCATCCTGGACTCTCGGATTTACGCAGCAGCAATCACACTTGGAAAAAAGTTGCAGCAAGTTAATGGCATGAGTGCATGACATATTTTAGTGCTTTGATGGGCCTGAAAGAATAATTGAGAAAAAATGCAAGAATAAAGAAAGAGAGAGACAGAGTGGGAGAGAGATATGGAGGGGGAGCTAGAGAACGAGATAGCGATAAGAAAGGAGACAGAGATTGAGAGAAGAATGTCAACAAGATCTACATGCAGTAACTCTGGGCTTGTGGACAACTGTCCATCAAAATCTCAGCAAGTCCAAAGGCTACTTGTCACACACCAAGAGGACCCCCTTTTTGTTCCACCCAATCATAGCCGCCCCCGCTTTGTGGAACCTCACAATCGGCTACTCCCCCTTCCTAGCGAGAAGAAACAGCCTTTTTAGAACAGGTTGTTTTTTATTTGTTGCCAAAGTTTGAGGCGAGCAACACTCCAGATGTGTCTGCAAGCCTGTTTCTGAGGTTGCGTTTGACAAAGGCCTTTTGCCCCCCGTCAATGCGCCACTGCTGACCACCCTACTAAAGTTCCCTGTGTGTAGCGCAAGTTTGTCTGCTTCTTGCACAGGGATTGCGATGATGTCAGAGTGCTGAGCTCTCATTGGCTGACTGAAAAAATAGTGGGTAGACCTCGGGGCATCTAGCATTTAGGTCTACCCAGTATCCTTTCAATCAAAGCCAATCAAAGCTCGGCATCAATCTGACATCACTGCAACTCCTGCGTAAGAAGCAGGCGACTTTCTCTCCGCATAGAGCTGCTAAGATTTCTATTACCGTATTTACTCGCATAATGAACACACTTTTTCCCCCAAAAAAATTGACACATATTTGGAAGGTGCGTTCATCACGCAGGTTAAAATTTTTTCATTTACACACTTCGTGTAAATGTCAAATTAGGTGCCAATATGACACGGCAAGGTACTGTGGTATGTCTCCACTGATGGAGGCGCATGCACGGCTGGTCGAGGGCGCACCACAGTAACCATGCTTTTTAAATTGCGAACTTTTTTAGGGCACTTTCGGCGTGCCTTTTGCCGAGGGAGAAGCGCCCTACGAAGCTCACTCAGCACGGAGAGCAACACGATCGTCGTTAAGCCTTACTACTTTTACGATTTCACTGTCAGAAAGCGGACCACAGACGAGAGCATGTTTGTTGACATCAATGCATCCGATAGGCGAAGAATGTCCGGGGCTGGGCAATTCCTCGACCCATGCTTCGCCAAGTGTGCGCGCCGCTCTGTTTCACGATTGATCACTTCCGCATTTACGCACTCACAGCCATTACGAGAGCGGCTTGGCTTGGCTTGGCTTAGCTTGACTTGACTTGACTTGGCCTGACCACTTGGTGGCAAAAGAAAATTGGCTTGGTGGCTAGCTAAATTGCACGAAATTCGCGATTGCGGAGCCGCAAATTGAAGTTGTGTTTGTTACACGAGGAAAAAAGAAAAAAAGTTAAAATATTGGTACCTGTTGTGGGGGGTGTGTTCGTTAAGCGGGTAAATAGGGTAAATAAATAAAATGTGTATTTCTTAGGAGCAGTTAGTGCCATATTTTAAATTTGTAAGATATCTCGTATACCATTTTCTTTTTCTCTTTGTTTGGCAAGTGTCCTCATGATCAGGACTGCCCCAGGGAGACTGAAGGTTTTGGCATTCCTTGCAACTTCCAAGCACGATACGAGGAGCCTTTCTTGTTGCAGGTATGTTTTGCAATTAATTAAATTCCTCTCCGATTTATGGAGGACATTTCTTTAAAGCAGGATATGTAAAATGGTATGATACAAGTGTGCACAAGCTGCTAACCTTTAATTACATCTGCTGGATTGTACTCACTGCACCCTGACTTTGTCAGTTAACTGACAGCTAACTGAAATCCATATCATTATGGTCTGTCAAAGATGCAGTTTGAAAAGAATACCATGAACCTGCTTAGAAGGAGCACTTCTTCCTGTGCATACTGATGCAGTGTGGGAAAGAGGCACTTGTATTTTGTTGCCGCGGCTCCTGCTACTCTGCATTGCACCCATGCCGTGGGTGGAGCACATTTAGCTGACCTTATAGTTTGTAATTAACTTGCTTCGAATGTGAACCAACTATAAGGGGGGGTCGGTGGCCGAGCGCCTTAACGCTTCGCAGCTCAAAGCACATGGCGCAATAGCTTGCGCCACAGAACCCAGGGATCCTCGATTTAATCCCCACGGCCCGTTTCGACCTGTATGAGCATCGAACTGGGATACAGTCATGTATCACTACTGTGGGACATGCAATAAAGGGATGCTGAGCCGAAATTCGCAGCTTACAAAACATGGGTGAAGCGTTAGGCAGGACGCTGCAAAACCCAAAAACGTCAGTCATACAGCAATATCACTTACAGTTGGCTGTATTTTTTAAAAAAAGTGCGCGATTGAACACGGCGGATGAGGCCGACGAGACATGTCACGTCACAATTCTCATTCGCTCTTTTCGCTTCGTTCCCTCGAGCAAGTGAGCCAAAGCGAAAAGGAGAGAAGCAAGGCCGCTTCTCTTCATTCTCAATGTTCCAGGATAATTGTGATGTCACATTCCTCACTTGATCGCGCCTTTCTTTTACGGAAATACGGCCATCCGTCTGAAATATCGGTGTATGAGTAATGTTTTGGAGTTTGTAGGTCCCGTTCAATGCTTCTGTGGCCTTATTTTGCAAAATCCAAATTTTAATTCAGCATCCCTTTAAAGGGACAATGACAGGGTATTTATGCTTGCCAAGGTTTTTATTCGTGCATTACATATGAGACCCCAACTACCCAGGAAACAATTCGCAACTCGAAATTTGTTTTATTTCCTACCGAAAACAGCCGATCGAAAACTGGCCGGTTTGAGTCACGCTCACCCTCTTCTCTGTGGTCACATGCTGTTTTCTATGGTTTAGACGCAGCCTCCAAATATAATCAAAGCTGTAGGTCATTGGTGCCTTCAATGACCTACACAATATTAAAAGTAGAAAAGAAATATGATACCCATTTTTTGTGGCTTTTAAAAGCTGCAAATGTGTTGTTCGAGGGAAAAAAAGCATCACAGCCTCGTGACTTCCGCCACTTCTCTCCTCTATATTTCTTTTCCTCCCCATTCCAGTTTCGGTTTCGAGCAGTTGCGTTTTTTTTTACTTTATAAAAAATATATGTGATGCTAGCTGTAACAAAAAATTGATTGGGTAGTCTTCTGACACCATAATAAATCGCCTGGCAAAAACTAAAAAATAAATTTTGCGGTGTGTCAGTGTCCCTTTGAAGACCCCAGGGTAGCAGTGGTGCTGCACTGGCAAAATTTCTCATCTACACAAACATCCCGCTGTTTAAACAAATAAACCACACAATTAAACAACTATTTAAAAATTATTATTATTTTTAATACTGTCGCCCGTTTCACCCTTTTGGACTGAAATTTTGATACCTTTGCATCATCCCAAAGTGTAACTAGGGTCAAAAGACTGTATGTGGACATTCGTGGCATATTTTATTTATTTATTTAGGAATACTGCAGGCCAATTGCGGCCCAAGCAGGATTGGGGGTTACAAAAGTGGAGTCAAAAAAGCGCAACACCAGGTAATCCGTAAAATGGGAGAGGGGAACAGGGGAAAATTATGCAAAAATTGTAATAAAGCACAAAAACAATTGCGTAAAAAAATGTAATAGCTCACAACAAAGTTGGGAGGGGTGGCGGTAGTGGGTAACAGGGAAATAAAACGCAATGCTAAGAGTTACACATCAAACAAACGCTCAATCGACTCCAAAACATTGTCAGATATAAATATGTGATGAGGTAGGTTGTTCCATTCTGTTATGGTTCTGGGAAAGAAGGAGTATTTAAATGCATTTGTTCGAGCGAATACTGGAGTTATTTTATGTGGATGGTCATGCCTTGTGCGCCTAGTCGAGGATGGGTGAAGAAAGGACGACGATTCAAGCCGGAGTTTTTTAAACCAGAGTTGATAAATAAATTTTAGTCTAGCTAGCTTCCTTCGTGATTCAAGAGAGAGGATGTTGTTACTTCGAATTAAGGCAGCAGGTGAGTCATGCGGGTGGTAGCGATTAATTATAAAACGAGCTGATTGCTTTTGAACATCTTCCAGTATCTTGATATCTTTTTTTGTGAATGGATCCCAGACTGCACAGGCATATTCTAACTTCGTTCTTATCAATGTGTTATAGGCTAAAAGTTTCACATGAGAAGGCACGTGCTTAAGGCACGTGCCTTATCATACCTAGTTTTCGACAGGCAGCTGCACAAACGTGTTCAATGTGCGAGGACCAAGATAAGTTGCTAGAATTTGTTATACAGTCGAACCTCGATATAACGAACTTCAATGTAACGAAATCCTCGATTTAACGAAGTATTTTATTTTTCATAATTTCTTGCCCATAGACCCCATGTATTTTTAGTCTCTATATAACGAAGTCTATTTTGCTGCTATTTCAATATAACGAAGTGCCATCGCCATAGAAGGCAATAAATAAATAGACTCTAAAAAAAAAAAAAAAAAAGCTTCGCAAAAAAATTGTGGTTAAAAACAAAATTATGCGCAAACGCGAGCGCTTGATAGGTTACTTCACGGGGACAGGCCTTCCAACGTTCGTAGGCTGCCCGAGGATGCGGCGCCGGTAGCGCCGGCGAGGCATGCGGCAAAGTGGATTCCGCGGGGCTGGCCAGAAAATGCCGAGCAAAAAGTTAACACGGCATAACAGCATCACCACTGCCATTGACTGATCATCATAGTCCACTGTACCGCGGGTAGCGCGGGAGCCAACTTCAGCGGGGGAGCGACGTGATGGCGCGACCGCACGGGCAGTGCCATCTAGGAGAAGACCGACTATCGTCGCTATCGTCTTGCGAGCGTGATGTAAAGCAAAGGCGCAAGCACACTGTGGGCGCAAGGGGGCAAGTAAACTGTGCGGGCAAGAGTGCTGTGTAGGTTGGAAACATTGACACCGCCTAAACTAAACAGCTTTATCGGCTTTATTTTTCAACCGGGCGGTTCACTCACGTCAGAGCCGTAAATGACTCACGTGCTTGCTGCCATAAGGAAACGTAAAGTTCTTTCTTTGGATGAGAAAGCAAACGTTTTGGACGCCATCCTGAAGAAACTGCCGAGATCCCGAGCACTCGGGAAGTGCTCGACGCAATGGACGAACTGAGGAGGTACATACATGGCGTCGCATGGGCAACAAGATGCCGTGCAAGCGCTCTGGGCGCTCGAACGCCGTATCGGCCGTATGACGCCGCCACGCCGCTGCCACTGTCGAACAAGGCGCGAGCAAAACTCGCGGACTACTTTGCCCTTAAATAAATGTCACTTTCGGTGAGTTTTCATACCTGTAAAATGTTTCGGAATTTTTTTTTTGCATGCTAAAGCCAAATTTCGATTTAACGAAATTTCAATGTAACGAAGTAAATTGCGAATTTTACCGACTTCGTTACATTGAGGTTTAACTGTACCAAGATATTTAAAGCTCATCGTCCGAGAGATGTAGTTATCACCAATAAAGTATTTATACTGATGAGAGGACTTTTTGTCAGTGATGCGCATGTACAAGGACTTTTCTTGGTTAAGCTTCATCTCCCAACGATCGCACCAGCTAGAAACTGCATTAAGACTTTCGTTCAGAACAACTTGGTCCCTAGTAGAGTTAATATCCTTGAACAATAGACAGTCGTCCGCAAATAAACGAATACTCACGGTTTTATCTATACAAAAAGTGAGGTCATTAATAAAAATTGAAAAAAAAAAAGAGAGCCAAGGACACTCCCTTGCGGAACACCCGAAATTATAGGAAGAGGATCAGAATGGTGACCGTCTACATCGACGAATTGTTTTCGCATTTGAAGATAAGCTGAAATCCATTGAACAACTGTGCTGGGAACGCCAATCTCATTTAGTTTGTATATAAGACCGGAATGAGGAACTCTGTCGAAGGCTTTGCTAAAATCAAGGAAGATGACGTGGACTTGACCAGGCCTATCTACTATAGAAGCAAAAGAATGAATAGTTGAAATGAGCTGAGTAGTAGTAGAAAGTCCCTTTCGGAACCCATGCTGAAAAGGCGAGATTATTTCATGTTTATCGAGGAAATCATTGATGTAATTAGAAATTATATGTTCCAGTAGTTTACACGAAGAGCTGGTGAGTGAAATTGGGCGATAATCGTTAACATTGTACGGTCTCCTTTTTTAAAAACTGGTACAACCCGAGCAATTCGCCACTCTGAGGGAACAACGCCACATGAAAATGACATCTGGAAGATAACAACAAGGAATCTAGAAATCCACTCAGCGTAACGACGAAGAAATGCATTTGGTAGGTCATCAGGACCATTTGACGATTTAGGTTTGAGGTTAAGTAGCATAGAAAAGATACCTTCAAACGTGATGAACTCTGAGCTTATTTCAGTTTCTTCGTTAAAGGAGGAATGTCTAGTGTAAGACTTCGAGAACACTGACTGAAAGAAAAGATTAAACTTCGTAGCTATTTGTTGTTTGTCGTGAACCAACATTTCCCCAATTTTGACATAATCGACAGTTTTTTTGTTGATTTGAGCTGAGGTGTCTCCAGAACTTCGCTGGATCTGTCTTAAGGAATCGTGTGAGTGTATTGGAATGATAGAACTGTTTACTTGTGTGAATTTTAGCTGCTAGTGCTCGCTTTAGGCAGGGGAGGGAGGAACTGTGAACTCGACTTCTACGGTTTCTTTTTACTTTCCGTAGTAGATGAATTATTTCGCGTGTCATCCAGGGGTTTTTGCGGCGCACATATTTACTTTTATGAGGAATAAAGTTTCGAAGACAAAAATGACAGATAGATTTAAATTTATTCCACAAATAATTAACGTCGTTCCCAGAAAATGTATCTATGGATAACTCAAGGTAATCTAGAACAGATTCGTCATTTGCCCTAGAAAAGTCTTTAATAGTTCTGCGCTTCTGGGCCACAAAATCATCCCATATGACCCATATGCACGAGGCACTGCTGTGCTCTTGTCCAAATCTGAATGAGTCTTTGTGACACCATTATGGTCACTATTCTCAAGTTCCAAAAAATATAGGGGGCTCTGCGGGAATCAAAGATGGCGATCATGACGTAGATCAATTTGTCGGGGCAACATCACGGTTCATTGAAATCGACGTATTTTGCGACAGGTAATACTGCGCGATCTACTTACCGTATTTACTCGCGTATCGACCTGTTTTTCAAAAATCGCCTCATCAAAACTGGGGGGTCGACCAATACGCGAATCCCGGTATTATATTTTTCAACTTTTTTTTTTTTTTCGGGGGTCCCGAAGTTAGGGGGTCGACCTATACGACGTATCGACCAATATGCGAGTAAATACGGTAAGTATTTCATTAGTCTAATGCACGGGCAACTTGTCAGACGTTTGGAAACACCTTGCAGCTGCGTGCGACGCGACTCAAGGATGACAAAAAATTGGCACCGGCACGGTCGAAAGCGGGATTGTTGTGCTGTGAGCACTGCGTTTTAGCAAGACCAGTCTTTTGACAGAAAGTGGAATGCAATGAGCAGTTGACTTTTGTTTTATGACGCACGGGCAGCCAGCACATGAAGGGACACCCACCGCTGACCGGTCGTGCAACGTAAGCATGAAGAAATGAGTGCAGTGACCACTTTGATATGTCGCCATTCAGCAGTGTGTCTCATGGATACTAAACAAGGCGCCACTGCGTTGATTGCAATTTCTTTTATGTCACGATTTGTTTTATCTGGTAAGCGTTGATCACCAGAAGCAGTACAGTACAGAAGATGACAAGCGGTCGGAGACATCTTGTGAGGCAAGCAAACAAACGAACCTTGATCAGTGCTCCCCTTAAGTAAGCGCTGAAAACATTTGAAAACAATAAACCACCAAGTGGGCTTACATGATATCATTTCAGTTTCGTGAACATAATTAAAATCTTCACTTTAATTTTTTTTATGTGTATACTACAATACGGTGGACCAAAATTAGGTTGCTGCATCGCCACTTTGCTAAAACGAATAGCTCTACAGAAGCTCCAAATCATTCGCATATATTTTGCCTGGTACCACAAACATTGTGTGCCATGTGCTTTACGCGTGGCCAGACATGACACTCGTATGCGATCCTTTTACACTTGTCCAAAAGTAACGAGGAATCTATCCCCGAATTCATAACACTTGATTTGATGTCGAAGAGCATAAAGCTAAGTCACTAGGGGATTATTTATGCTATGCTCAGGATTGAGCAAACTCAAGACGCAGCAGCGATAGCAGTTCGACCAGTACGTTTCTTCACTCATCATGCACAATAAAAACAAACCCTAATACGTAATACAATGCCGCCAACCGCGCATCGCATTAGAAGAAACAGGCCAGCTGCAGAGGTAACAGTGCAAAAGCTTTTGGACATAAGTGATAAAGTAGAGTTGGCAGAGTCGTTATGTGCATGCACTGAAACAGTGTAAAAGTCTCCCTAGTGTACTTATGTGTGTTATATCCAAAATAAAGTAACATTTAATTCACCTTTTCTTGTCAAAATTAATCTTCAGATTCTACACAGGAGCACTTGTTGACCATCCATTGACTGTGATAACTTCCGCTTAGGGCTAGTGCTATCTCGGCAAGCGGGAGCACCGACAAGGATCACATAGACTTTTACTCTTTCACGTCCACTGTCATTACTGAAGACAGCTCCATGAAAATTATCTAACCACCGTGCACACACAGGCTGTGAAAAGACGTTCTCAGTGTCAACTAGGAGCGAATCAGCGAAGCTTCTCGGAGGGGGGAACCCATACCTATGGGCCGGCCGAACTATCGCCATCAAGTGACAGATCTGGTGACGAGCGGATACAGGCCATGCTTTCTTTGATGTCTTGTTGCCGCGCGGTGTTGCCCGTTTATAATTCTGTCGCCGCTTAATATTAGTTTTGCCTGTGTTCCTTAGCCTCCGTCACCTAAGTTGCAAGCCTAAACAGCAAAACAGTCCCCCTCTTTTTGTTTCTGAGGTTGACCGCCAGGGCAGCGATGCCCTAGCTCGAACTTGCGACTAACTTTCTTCTCGTTGTTGTCCTAACAGAAAAAGAAGTCTGCACGCCTGAACTATTCGTATGTGGTTTTGCAGAGGTCTGGCAGTCTTCCCGGTAAGTGTCTTGGAGTGCAAGATTTGTATGTACCAATTGCTTGCACATTGCTGTTTTTTCTCATATTTTTACTTATTTTTGAAGGTTTTTTGTTTAAATGAGTTGGCACAATTTAATAAACTCGTTTTTTTCATGCACGCTTTTAGAAACCCTTTCCGGTTTCATCTGTAGACACAAGCAGTTTCAGCTGTAGTTGTACATCTGTCATTCATAGCAGTCCTTGTACGGCCTACTACTTTGTTTAGTGCAGTAGTATTTTATGTAAAACTTGTGCAGATAAATGGGGGAACATATACACCAACTCATGTTTACAAACAAACTGGAGCGCCCGGAACGCCTCTAGCGGATGCCACCGGCGCCGCGCATGCGCGATCGGGGTGTGGGCAAGACGCTCGCCGTCGCCCATAAACAAACCATTGAAATGCGATGTTATCGGCGTCTGTGTGAGTCCCCCTGCCCTTTTTCGCATTCGAATTGTTGATTCTACGTCTTCCTGGCAATGTCTGAGTACTTGAGCGGCCTCAGTGGAATTTACAAAACTCGTTACACCGCAAAACTTCGCGTCAATAATGTGACATGCCGCGATTCATTCCGCGTGGACACCGCAGATTGTACGCTAAAGCCTGATTCGTATGATGAGATTTCGCTCGCAATTTTGAGTCGCAACGTCGCTCGGGCTGCAAAAGCGTGAACCGAAGCTGAGATGGTCGACGTCGATGCTGAAAATCTCAAGCAGAATCGGAATAAGTGAATCAGGCCTAGCGAGTCGGTGATGGTCACTGGTAACAATGATCAACATCTCCTTGTATCTACTGTTTACATCGAGCCTGCTCACCAACCTTCAAATTTAGGTCTTTTGAGGCGTGCATTACTTCTTATCGCAAGTACCGCGCCAAGATTCTGTCTACGGGCCGGCGTCGTCTGAGAGAGCAGACGACAAGCAGACACGTCTGAAAGAGCAGACGACAGTTCGAACGATCAGGTGGCCGTTTGAACTTGAAGACGCACTGAACGTAGTCCGCAGGTGGTACGCACAAATTGACGGTTTTTTGGCGGTTTTCATGTTGGAACAAAACAAATAAATCTGGTGATCACAGCTATCCGTGAATTCAACCCAAAGTGCTTCCCACCCAAGCAATCGTTGTCCGACGGCGTCTGCTTTTCCCTTTTCACGGCACATATCCATATTCTCGGACGAACCGAGCACGTGAAAACTGACCTTCAAACCTTTCTCGACACTTTTGGTACGGTCCCAGTGGCGGCGTTTTGACGAGAAGGCAGGTTTTTGTCTCGTTCCTTTCAAAACAACGCAGGAATACACGTCTGGCATGGGGACTTCTGCCCACAGCCCCAGACCGGAAATGCGACCGACGCGTCACCACCGCGCCGTGACGTAACAGAGATGAGTTCGTGTATAGACCGACACGCGGGCTTGACGTCGCAGAGCTGCAGCAGCGATGTGATCGCGCCAGAGCCGGGTGTTCTGGGCAGAAGGGCACATGTTTTGCATGGGCGTCAAAGCATTTCAGCATGCCGCAAAGCTATGTAGCCGTTAATTGCACCGAAAGGTACAGCAAAAGTAGCAGAGTGAGTGTCCACAAGTTCCCGGCAGACTCTGAAAGGCGCAGAAGGTGGATAATATCTGTAGATCAGGAAGGATGGTCGCCTCGCGCGGACGACTGTTTGTGTGGCAAGCACTTTCTTAAAAGCAAGTTTGGCTTCCATTTCAATCTCCGTACCAAGGCTTGCTTATGTGCAGGGAAACCGCCGTCTGATCTAGACCACCCAGATTTTGCTCCGATGGTGTTTGCGCACAAAGCATTGACCAAGTGCTCTTCGGTTGCTAGCTACGCCCGTGTTACCCAGCGGAAGGAGATTGGAGGCAGAACGGACAAAGCGTTACCTTTCGTTGTGCCTTGTGGTCATGAGGGTAAAAAAAATATCATACCTTGACTGAAGCAGGCTGTGTGTATTTAATCAATTATAATAAATACACTTCTGCAGAGCCACAGTCCGCTGATCCTGCCGGCAGCGCCAAAACCGGCTTGAAGTAATCATAGGCCTTGATAGACTTGTACACCTCCGCCGTGTTGTCCGTGAACTGGCTTGGAAAAAAATGAAATAAACAATGACTTGACCCATCGACGTCGGTGGCAGCAACTTTACATCAGAACTCCAGCAGGCCTTGTTAATGGAGCACGGATCGTCGAAGTTAACGCCATCCACGCACAGTTTATCTCGATACCGCTACCATTCAGGCTCGGGTAGCAAGCTCAAATAGTCGGGCATAACATACGACATACGTTGGCAGGAAATACGACATACAAATAAATGTATAAGTGTTTTTGGAACGTCAACAGTGAGTGTATGCCACGCAACACAATGGCGACAACATGGAAAGCCTGGCCGCCTCTGCCCACATAGCTTCTGCGCATGTGCGGCCTTCCGGCTGGGTTGGTAAACAGAGCCGCGCCTCGTGTTGGTCTTTAAGGGAGAAAACTTGCTGTGTCTACCCAAAAGCTAGGAAAAACCTGTGGGGAGAATTATATACCTTTACGTACAGAGGTCGGTGTTTAAAGGGAACAAGATGCTCATCCCACCACATGGCTGACAGCTACCAGCAAGAGTGGCCACAGTGCCAGATTCGCCAATACCATGCCAGCACTTATGATCTTGGTATCCAACGGCGTTTATTGGGAAACAAACAGCTCCCACAATCTCCCACGCTATAAAACATTTGGTACTGTGAGAGGCCTTTGTGGAGGTCACGTTCCTTCTCGCCCACCCCTATCTCCTTGGGGGGGAGGGGGTGGCATGGGCGTGTTATCCCATTGGCAGTCGGCGACCAGTCTTCTGAGCCGCTAATGACGGACAACATCGCCCGGCGCCGCGTTACCAGCGCGACACCTGGGCAAAACGTTAAGCTGACCTCTTCCCGCTGACGGAGCCCTCGAGTTCAGCCCCTTCGAGCGAAGAATGGTTGAGACATCAGCTAAAATATTCCTTGTCTTCGGAAGGCTTCTATTCTTCAGTCTAGTCTCGATGACGACGGTGGCGGCCCAAGATTGACAGGACACCATGTTCAGGGACATCTGCTTATGCAAGAGAAAGAGACTAGGGCAGGGCTCGAACTCCGGGAGCAAAAACTTCGCTACCATTGGCTGCGAACATTACTGCAATGACTCTCTACTGGGGGGGTGGAGCCAAGTGCCCCTTTTAAAGGAGCAGCAGGAGGCTGTGAGAGTGTGCTCTTGAAAGATGTAAATACTTTTGTACATATGTATTAAACAGAGTTTATCGTAGGACACCCTCCCGTCCACTGATGTTTCTGCCTCGAGTCCTCCTTCAGTTCCTGTCTTGGCCCGGTACTGCTCAATCCTGCCTGCAGAACTCCTCAGTCGCAACAGTACTTCTTTTTGGGAAAGAGGCGCCAGCTCTTCTACCCCCAACAGACGAGACCTGGCAGCATAAATGCAGATCGTAAAGAAAAACAAAATTTTGAGTTTGGGTATTTAGCAGCTTCCAGCTGCTGCAAATCTTCAATGTACCGGAGTTCACAATGCACTGGCTTACAAAGCCGTCCATATGCCATCAAATGATGCGGAAGAAAGTTCCCCAAGGCCGAACGGTCAAAAGCCCGACAGGAAGTTCTTTCACAGTACCAAGCGTCACTCGCACGCAGACAGTGATGCTTGGACATGTTGCTTGGCTCACCTTGCACATCGTCAACCTCTGTCAAAGCGGACATAGTTACACGCGAAGAAGTTTGGCTCGGTCATCCGGGTGACGGTTGCGGCAGACCGGCGGCAAGGGGGAATGGCAGCCACCAAAGTCAAAGGTGCACCTTGGGGCCAGCGTTGGACGATGTCCGTGACCACGCTCATGTCGGGGGGCAAGGTTCGGCGGGGCACCTTGGAGAGGTCGTACGTCGGGAAGATGGCGGTGGCCATCTGAAACTAAGCTAGGAGTCCGCATACTCCATCTGCCGCTCCCATCTGCTGTCCGGTGCACAGGGTGCCAGCAATGTCGCTGATGACGCACGGCCCGTAGTCCCCTCAAGCTCTGCCTCGCTGCTCCGTATGTCCACAACGGGCCCATGCGGTGGGGAGGAAGGGGAGCACAAACACCTTTGGATTAGTGCCAAGAAGAGCCGCGACGTCGGCTGGGCCCCGTCGCAAGAGGAAAGGTCCCCACAGGAGTCTCTTTGCCTCCTCCCGATCAACGGTACAGCAAGGTCGTAGGGAGAGCTCGTTGTTGGTCGACACACTGCCACCGAAGGGTGGCATGGGGGGGGGGGGATCGGTGGCCGAGTGTCTTGACGCACCGCAGCTTGAAGCGCGTGGAACGAAAGATCGTACTGCAGAACCCAGAGATCCTGGACTCTATCCGCACCCCTACCCATTTCAATCTGGATGAGCATCGTACCAAATACGTTGGAGACTAATACAGGAAACTCCGGTGTGAAATGGGAGGCGGAAGCAGAAAGCGATCCAGACGTCGGGGAATGGACGACTACCTAACCATTTTCAGTGGAAATGTAGCGAGTGGGTCCGACTCACTAAAGAAATCGATAATCAATGAAATATTAATTTTTTTGATGGAGCATAAACTCGTGATATTGGACGTCTTGATCTTTTGATGTTGAAATGCAGTGTGTGTTTTTTATAGACGTGTCAGGCTTTGCCTAGCGATTTGCTACAATCTAAACGAATAAACGAAATAATAGTATTATTATTGAACTTTTTTTACATTAGCTCCAAGTAACCATAATTGGCAATGAGCATAAATTTGGATGAGGTCAACTTAAAATGGCTCTAAATGACTACAAGTGATTATTATTGATAATTATGTGTTTTTTTGTGTTTATACATATGAATGGCTTCAAGTAGCTTTTGTTAGCTATTAGCATCTATCTTTGACCAGATTGACCTCAAATGGCTTCGAATAGCTATTGATGAGATGATAGACAATTGATCCCGTAAGTGTGATGTCATTGCTCCAGACAAACCTTGCTAGGGGCGTTGTTATGGACAAATGCATGGATTTCGCTCTGAAAGAATAATCCGTCAAAAATCAGACATGGAATTTAAACTTTTAAAAAGTATAGATATAGGGAGCCTAAATTTCAAACTTACCACGACAGAATTTTGCCAGGAATTGGCTGTTTCTGAAATTTTTGCGACGACAACCTCCGGTCTTCGAGACGTCTCAAGATGCCTGCTGCAGATGACAAATGCACAATGAACGTACACAAAATGACTGAAGTATGCCGCCTGCAACAGCTTGAATCATTTTCAGAATGATACGATTTTGATCTTTTAATTATTTGGAACATTGCAGGCCTAAGGGAACTAACCGGGCTTATAAAAACAAATTGCATTTGCGTGTGATACAATACTGTCTGACGAAAATCATGCATGGAGATCTGCTCAAAATACAACGAGAAAAAGCATCTGTTTGGAACGTGATATCAAAGTAGCGTCGGGCACTTTTTTTATATTACAGTCGATGTGCGTTGTAATGAAGGAGCAATTATTTTTACTCCAACACGAGGATTTGAGACCCCAGACTTCAGTTTTCAGGCTCGCAATATGGGTGTGTGTTTTTTGCCGGCCTGTAATCATCACACTGAGAACTTCATTCAACGCAGTCACGTACTCCCCCAGAAAGAACCACCGAACCCGTGAAGCCATGGTGTCGTCTGCTAGCAAGGCAAAACCGGTTGTGAAACTTTATTACCAGCTTTTGTCATCGCTCTATGGTACTGAGATGATAAAGTCTTCATGATTAGATAATCAGAAAACGCAATGCTTACGAGAGATCATTTACTTTTTTATCAGACAATTTCTAACCTCACGTCGAGCCCCCATGCATTTGTCCATAACAACGGCCCTATCAACAGTTTGTTTGGAGCGGAGTGCCATATTGTGACGTCGTCACTTACCAGGTCATAAGTATGGCTTCAATTGGCTAATATTGGCCATAAGCCTCCAGTTTTATATGTATTTGCTTTATTATTAAAGCTTACTAATATTGATACCATTTAGCTATTTCTGTGTTTATGGACGAATGGTTTCAAGTGGCCATTGTTGGCTATTAGTGAGTATAATTGACAATTCTCTGCTATTGGGGAGGAGGACTGACCGTGACGCCCCAAGCGGTTAGCTTTAGAGCTACTTTGATGGCAACAACAAATACAATGATTCGGCGCTCGGCCGAGATAACCGAATGCGGCGTCAGCGGTCGGCTGGAGTTTGTGTTCTCCAGTGAGGGGGAGGAGGGGCTCTTTTGTTACCACCCCGGCTTGCATGAACAATGCAGCATGCACGGTGCCAGCTTAGCACAAAAGTCGAAGTGGGTCAAGCTCGCATTCTCTGACGACTGCTTTCGGGATAGATCCGGCACTTAACGTTACTTTGTCGATTGTTAGTATTTTATACATTACACTTTGCCCCGCGCTCTATTATAGAAGATGGGATGGACATGCCCATAAGGCCTATCAGCATGTGCACAGGCCTTGTTTTGAGTAAACACCGAAGTGTGGGGAAACAAACTGGTCAGATCGCCCCCTATATTTCGATCTCCTGCCCAATATGAGGGTATAAATAAGAATGGGCTTCAAGTGGCTATTATTGACTATAAGCATCTATTTTAGATTGCTAGATCTGGTTGGAATGGCTATTAGTGACTAGTAGTATTAATAATTATGAGCTATTTCCAGTTTACAAACTTGAATTACTTCAAGTTGGCTATTAACATTTGTTTTTTTCATATTTGCTCCACATGGCTACCAAGGGTTATTAGTGAGTTAAATTAACAATTTTGTACTTGGTGTTTATGAATGAGAATGGCTTCAAGTGGCTATTAGTGGCCAGTATTTATAATTAATGATTGAGCTATTTTTATGTTTACGAAATGCAATGACTTCAAGTGGCTTTGTTAGCTATTAGTATTTATTTTTGACCAGATTGAATTTAAAATGGCTACCGATTGCTCTTGATGAGATGTGTTCATAGTATCCGGATTCGGCTGCCTGCGTACATTAACCTGCCAACCGCTGGATGGGAGGCTCTAGTTAAAAGGCAGACCATGCAATGCCAATAAGAATTAATTGGTACCTTGCATATGCAAATAAGGTTGTCGGGGATGGCCCCGGCAACTCTCTGCCACCAGTGGTGGCCAGGGAATGCAATAACAACTTAATTCGTAGAGTCTTCGAGTTGCATGCCTTCCGAGCTAAATGCACTTAATGAGGCCGCTAAACAGCTGTTCTGGCTCTAGTGTGCTGTGCCAGTTTTGTAACACAAAGGCATTAATCTCAAAAATGGGCAGAAGCCCAAGGGCGTCGGCAAAACAGATCTATCTTAAAGAAAACCCTCGTGCCAACAACAATACAAGTGACATACAGCACATGCATCCACAAAATAAAAACTGCTTCAGGACATAGGCGGATATATGGCCCGCAGCTCCTGGAGCCCGTCCATCATGAGATACTTAGTGATGTTATAGGCAGACGCACTGCCTGACTCAACCTTAAAGGGGCCCTGCAATCATATTTAAGCGTCTACCTTTTTTGCGGTTTCCACGTCTCTTGGGGTTGGGGCAAGCCAGTGGGCACGGAGAGAGTAACTAAATATCAGTACGTCATATTTTAACCGGACGACGCGGAAACCTCCTCCACCGACGAGGGCGACCCGCGGTACCGAAAGCGCGCAAAATGTGACGTCTTTGGTCCTGGGCTTGCCACTGGTCAAAGCCGCTAAGAGCTTTTTTTTAGTCGAGATACAAAATATAAGTGTCGCGAACCGTTTCAATTATGTATGAAAGTAGTTTTTGTTCACTAATTCAGATCAGAAAAGAAACAAATGCAGTTTAGAAAGTACGGAAACGAGAAATGACCCGTCGACATACCCGCCTCCAAGCAGCGGAAAAAAACGGCGCATACTAGAAAAGGCTAGTGGGATGAGGCTACGACAAACGAGGAGCGTAGAAAGATCCCGGATGTACGCGGCGGCGCTGTGGTCGTATACCGGCTCAAGAATCCGACCGGTTCCGAGCGTTCCGAAGGCCTTCGGCGCGGGCCCTGTTGGCGATTTGGCCATTTGGCGGTGCGTCAGCGCGAAGTGACTCCCGATCTGAACTGATCTTTACCCCGTGTTTGCTGTCGTTTGTGGCCAATGAAATGTTATGCCGAATTAGTGTTTAGTCGCGCTGCAAATGCAATACGAGCTGCCCTGGCCGCCCGCTTCATACAGCCTATCCAACACGTGCTTTAGTGGCGCCCTCTCAAGCCGTCGACACGGAGTGCGGCAGCCGTGTGCGCTCGATGAGCTCACTACTCCTCTTCTAGTTCAAGGCCACTCAAGGCAGGACCTACGACGTCATGAAGGAGGTTATTTTTTGCTTGTTTTTGTAATTCTAATTTGCCTATAACTTTTAAAATAAAGCGAAATTTGAGAAAAGAAAAGCTGGATTAAGTTACTACGTTCAGTACGCTCAGGTTCAGTGCAAATTAAAAACCAGTCAAAAAGTCATTGCGGGCCCCTTTAAAGTCCGACATCTTAGAATCAAAGAAATGCGCGTATTTAGAGACCCAGCTAGTTCTACTGAAGAACTTCTTTGCTATTAGTAGCAAAGAAGTTCTTCGCTACTAATAGCATTCATCAGAAGGCCCATGGGAGTTGGCACAACTCGATTTCCATGGCACAATGGCCCTGAAGACACTGTCAGATGTGGCACCCCTCTAACTTAGCCGCAATTGGCATTGGAGTTGGCAACTGTCATGCAGTGAGGTGACTATGTTGCCGGCGGCTCATATCAGCTGACAGATGCAATAGTGGGATTTAAGGAGAGGGAATACTACCCCCAGAATCCGTAGTTACGCGAGAAATCTGCACCAAGCACAATGGGTACAATAGGTTAAGCAAGGCACGAAACAATAATGAAACATTAGTGGCTCGCTCAAGTTTTCATGGGTTCCTGGTTGGCTCTTGGATGTTCTCAAATCTGGGCAGCGCTGGGATTTGCATGATGGCGGCTTGCAAGAGAAGCCGGCCTCCCCAAGGAAGTACTGCCATCTTAACATGGCACGGGCTAGTGGTGCCACAACAGCAATAGGTGCCGTGGCTTCACTTTGGGTGCCATTTTCTGGGGACTTGCGTGTACCTTTACGTACGGGGGCCGATGTTTAAAGGGAACCTGATGCCTGTCCTGCCACATGGCTGACGGCTACTAGCAGGAGCAGTTGTCATGCCGGGTTCGCAAATGTCATGTCAACGTGTGATCCCACTATCCAATAGCGTTTACGGATTGGAAAACAGGAGTCCCAAAAATTCCAGTCGTCACTTCCACAGCCTATGGCATGCTTGCAGAAGGAAGCAAGCGGCTCCCGGTTCTTTTTATATGCTAAGCCTGCACATCTAATCTTACCAGCAGCACTCTGAATCTGAGTCGAGGTTCCAACAGCATTTGTACATACAAATCTGGCCTACATGAAACATTGAGCATAAGTCACATTATTTGCATGAAATCCCACCACAGGCTTCATTTTTTATGCCCAACCTTATTCATATTTTGTCATGTTCTGCTTTCCTTGTTAAATCACTGTAATTCACTTTTCGCATTCTTCCTGCTTTCCTGCATAGACCTTTTTCATAGAAGGTTAATCTAGACTCAGGTGAACACTGTATTATCTAGATATGTTCTGCAAACCTTCAGCGGGAAGCAATGTTTTGGATTGTGGTGTTTCAGCTGAGCATGACTGGGCTCGCTTGATCAGGCCCGTGCTGTGCCGGAGTAACCACGTGGTTTGCCGCGTCTGCTGCCACGACGCCAAACTCAGAGAGTTTGTTTTCACCAAGGCTCGTCACGGGAGGTGAGTAGAAATGCCACTTTTATGCATGCAGCAGGCGGTCAACTCTCCATAAAATACTCCTTCTCGCTTGTGCAAGTGCGCACCTTTTGTGTGTTTTAAGTTTCGAAACTGATTGGTACGGGTAATGTATGTGTGCATAAATGTGAAATATGGCCTTCCCCTGTGTGGTGGCGCCATTCAATGATGAAGCCCGGCCAGCTGAGCAACTAACGGCGTGGACGCTGAACAATCTTCACTCCGATGATGATGTCCTTATATATAGATGTTGGTATGATACACAGTGCCCTCCATATACGACACCCTGCAAACTTGGAAAACGGTGATTGTCGAATTTTGAATGGAGTCTTCTTTGGAGACAAAACGGAACCTGTCCAAACATTGTCATCACCTTTTCATTAACAGAGTTAATTTTTTTTTTTTTTTTGTGCTCACGGGGAAAATACAAAGAAATCAACGAAAACAGAGTGTCGCCATAGTATCGTCAACACCATATACGCATGCAGGGACACACTCTTTTTCGCACTTCTGAACAAAAAAATAAAAATAAATGTGTGGGACAAAATGATCAGATGTCTCCACCCTAAGCAAAGCGCACATGAAGGCACCCTAATCTGTACTATACTAAAGCGCATCACACAATATACTATTATAGCAGCAAATCTGACTTTACCTTATACAGTCATGTCTCGTTAATATGGACCCCGTTAATATAGATACCCCTCTATATGGACGCCCTTTTCGGGGACAAACTGGGAAAATACATCCATTTTTGTCTCATCATTATAAACAACCTGTATTATGGACGATTTTCGGGGGGAGCGGAAGTGTCCATATTAACGGGACATCACTGTAGTACTAAATTACCTTATAGTTAGTTACCCTTGCAATGAAAGTGAGTAGTATGAAAAACTAAATGAAAAATTTATAATTAAAATATTTTAGAGTTATGTTTAGTGTTAAAATAGATTGCTTTATTTTGCGTGTATTATGTGCCAGGGTGTGCAATGCAGAAAACCTTTCGACAGAGTGTACACGCATGCCCCAGGCAGACGGATATGGTCGTTAGAGCCCTCTAGTGTCAAGAAGCAAAACAAGACAACATTGAACTTTGTTGTCACTCGTCTTTTGTCTTTGCACGGCCGGGCTAGAATGAAAAGGCACGGACGGACTCTTATGAGCTTCAGATGGAGGGTATAGTTTCTCCCTCCCACCACAGCTTGCTGTGGTTGCTGCGACCTCACCCCTTCCACACCCAGGGCTTAAAGTCTAGGGGGTCTCAGGGGGTCTTGGACCCCCTATTGATTTTAACGGAGGTTCTGAGACCCTCTTCCACAGCCCCAGCGTTAGTAAAATCAAAATCATATATTGCAATAAAATACCTTGTTATCAGGGATGTGACATTTTGGGTTAGCAATTTGAGGGTTGCCGGAACAGCGTGGCCAGAGTCAGCAGTTGGGTATATTTTATGTGCATTTAGTACATCTCGTCAAACCCCCCCCCTCCTCTACCTTCTTGTAGCGACCTCCCTCAACTTATGAGAGACTTTAAGCACTGTCCACACCGCTTTAACTCGTTCTAAGGAGGCACCCCAACTATCCCACCGTGTTGGCCGCCTCCATGCGAAGCAATTTTCCATGAACAAGCGTTTATTTATTGTAAGCCAGAAGTTTTTTTTAATCAGTACACTGCAGTTGTCTCATATGGGAACATTGGCGCACAGTTGTTCAGGGGGGCTCAGGCAATACTCGAAGGGGTGGCATTGTTGTGGCCCCACACGATAGAAAAATACATTAGGAAATGGCGCCGTCTAGCCCGGCTGTGGTCTTAGTTTGATGTGTTATCCACAAAATGCATGAGGCCAGTTTTATGGGAGCATTCTTACTAATTACTTTAGGGAACGTTACTCATTTCTTTCCTTATTCAAATCCCTACTTTATTAGAGTTGCACAGTGATGCTAAGCATGGGAGCAAAGCATTCAAGACTAGGGCAAAATTAAAATAGGCACATCATTGGAAATAGAATAGTCATTGTAATTGAGTAATTTGATGGTCTATCCTGGATGGTTTTAAGTACATTATCAAGCATGCATAGCTAGTTGACCTTTTTAATGTTTCAAATGTTTTTACGTTGTACCTTCCTGTTGCTGTTGTGGTTCATGTGGATTTTTGTTGCTGGTTTGGGATAAATCAGTAAAAAGCTACATTTTTTCCTATATTAAAGCAAATATAGAAAATTGTTTTCAGTCTTGCTGAAAACCCATCGCTAGTTGCCTTCTTCTGTGCTTCTAGCCCAAATGCAGTGAAACCAAAAGCTGATCCTTGCAGAAGGGCAAAAAAGTTTCTCCGTCCTGGCACAGAAAAGGGGAATTGAAAGGAGCTTTCTTTTTGAGATTCTGTGCCTGCCATCAAAGTAAATTTAGGGGGTTCCTTACATCAACTGAAGTAATGGCTGATGCACAGGAAAGCTGGTAGAGAACTACTATTCCGAACTTAAGCACCAATGGAAATCAAACCTAAAATAATGAAAACAGAACACAATGATTTTCTTGGATTTATCTTTTGCTTATTTCAAATTCAAAATGTTGAAGTTTTTAACAGCAGAGAGGCTTAAATCATGTCAATTCCTTATGTGATATTATAGCCGCCTCTATACGGAGAAAGCCTGGCACGTTGCGAGAAGAGACAGCCGCCGCAAATGGGAAAGGAGGGGCGGAGAAACAAGAGCGAAGGGGAGATTGCCTGCTAGCGCCACACAAGAGCGAGCGGCCGAACGCAGAAACACTTTTTTTTTTCCTCTTTTCTTTTTTGGGATCGTGAAGAGGAGAAACTCAACGTCAACCCTTTCCCGTTTCTCCCTGCGCCCTCATCTCCGTAACGGTCCTTGAACGCGAAACCGACGTTCCCGGCCGTCGGTTTGTTTAGTCAAAACTGTATGATTCTTCCGTGGCTTGATACAATGGTCCGACGACGACACACTCCACTGGCACGCCGACAACTCCGCCGACGCCACCGGCATGGTGCATTGTTGCCAGCGCCCTTTCGAATCACCGCAGCCGTTTCTCCCAGAGTACGAAAACATGAAAACAAGCGTGGTTCGGGGAGCGGCCGCTCATGACCCAAGCGCTCGCGCACTATCTCTGTCCTTTCTGCTCTGCGCTACCATATTGGTCACCGCTTCGCGCGCTCCTCCTCTCCTTTTTTCTGCGGCCGCGCGCCTTATGGCTCTGCCGTCAATGTGCCAGGCTTTCTCTGTATAGAGGAGGCCATGGTGATACGGCAAGTTGTTTGTTTTTCTTTCTTTTTCTTTTTTTAAGGAATATTGCAACAAAATTCTAGCTCCTATCTCATTGTCTAAATGTCAACCATGTTCTGTCACACCACGAATATACCATTTTCTTTTTTGCTCGAAAAGACACCAAAACAATATTTGAAAGGAATGAACCAAATGTTATTATGTCACTATGCACAAGCATCGCCGCTCCGTGTAAGTATGGCAGCAAGTTGCGTGCGCGCGAACCCTGTCGAATCGGATTTCCCTTTTTTCCCGGCCTATTCAACTCTGGGAGGTGTAACTGAAAACGACCAGGTTGTAACACATTGACGACACCAAGTGGCGGACCAAGCCAGCCCCCAAGCAGCTTCGGCCATGCTGAACCAATTGGTTGTCACATCTGTGACGATCGGTCTAGCTGTCATGATGCATTGCGCTCTTCCGATTGCTTAAATCAGTCCTTTGAAGCGAAAAATAAAGCTCTCCGTTTAAAATATAAGCATGTGATTGTCATTAGCAGATTGAGTTTATTATGTTTAAGTTACTTCTGAACGTGGGAGGTATATCTTAAGGGGCAACTCCGCTTCATTTTTGATATTTAGAAAACTATGTAGCCCTCTTCAGTATCATATAGGAAGACCCCATGTCAAATATTACGATCTAATTCCATTTATTTATTTAATAAACTGGCCAGCAAACCTTCAAGCGAGCCAAGTCGCCGAAATCTGCTAACTCTAGCGTGCGGCGCGAGGCGCAATCATCAGCGCAGTCAATGCCACGGAGTTGGAGCAGCCGACATTCAGCCACTACGTCAGAGGCATGACTACGTCATTCTCACGTTTTGCTTGTTTTTACTTCTCAGAGCGAAATTGAACGATGACGTCATGAGTTTCTCCTCCCGGTGTTGGCTGACCGGGCGTTCACGTGATCACCGTAACACGGATGCACTAGTTTGCGCTGCCCTGCGCGCTTATCGGTCTGTTTCTCCGCTCCCCTTCTCCTCTTTCGTCTTCTCCCCTCCCCTCTCCCCCGAACCATCACCTTCCACGCCATGCGAAGCGACCTGCCCGAGTCGCGTGTCCTGTTTCTCGCTCCCTCCCGAACGTCACAAGACAACGTGGTTCGACGTGACGTGGCCATGACTCTGACGACCCGAGATCAATGCTGCCTGATGCAACCGAAGTTTCGGTTTCGGTATCAGCTGATGTTTAAATTAGGATTACACAAATAATATTCCACATTTCGCGAATCCGAAGACGTAGAGTTGTTTAGTAGTGCCTTGTCCTACTATTTGAATCACATGTAAGCCTAAATTTTTCGGAATTGAGCAGAGTTGCCCTTTAAGTTTCAATTCAGTATCCCTGAGGTGGGTATCTAAACATTGAAATTGCCTGCTTGCCCTGCCCTGAGAAAGTAAGCAGAGCATCTTTATTGTTTCGTAAAAGCTTAGGTTTCTATCATTCACCCATGTTGATGGCCTGACAAGATGTTCTGGCCAGTCATTGAGAGCGGTTCAGTGAATTTGTCCACTTTGATGTTGTAAAAGAGGATATTGTGATGAGTGCAATAATATATGTTTTTTTTTATCTTGAAATGCAGGCATATCTATCGCGTGGCCCGATGCAGCGAATGGGGAGATCAGTTGCCAGTCAGCATCTTGCCATCGACAGAAGAGACGATGCAAGAATCAAAATAAAAGTACATTTTAACTTAGAAGTTCAACTTTTTTAGAATTAAAAGGTCAGTTTGTGTTCTTCCTGTACTTACTTTCCGGGTTATGCCTCTTATTTGTTTAGTACAAAACACTGTTCCTTCCTGCGACTTTTTCCAGAACCATTTACTTTATCAGAATTTATGTCAAATGGCGCCATGAACGCATTAGCTACTTGTTGTGCCAAAACAACATTTTTTAGGAAAATTATGGAACACGCACACCAAAAGGAGCTTAATTAAAGAAAACAAAAGAAAGGAATGACCTCAGGTACAGGTATGCGCAGTATTGCATGCACGGCGGTACTGTGCAAGCACATGCGGATGTTGATGTTCTAAAAACAGTCACGTTGCTTTGCTTGCCTCAATCTTCACTGCTTCGTATCATTGCTCTCGCGTCAAGCTTCACCGCTTTGCACCGGTGTTCTATGAGCAGCAGCTGATGCGGGGAAGCGACTGGACTAACTTGATGAGCTCTGCTTTAAACAACAATGAGTAAACCGCCAATTTAGAAAAAAAAAAATGTCAGCTTGTGTTTTAACAAATAAAATAGTCCAGCAATAATAATGCCTGTTGGCCCATTAGAAAGCGAGATTATTTGACTTAAGTCTGCACTTAAGTCCACACGTGACGTCAATCTCGCCATGCAAAAATAAAAACATCTGACACTAGTGGTCAAAAAAGTTTGGCCATAACTTTGTGCTGTCATAGCCATATTAAACTGCACAAAAACAAAAAAAGGGGGGGGGGGTGTCGAAAAGAAAGCTTGTTTTGCTACGTCTTCCCAACAATGCACTTCAAGGTGCATACGGTATATCGCAGGGTGACGGGGATCGTTGCCCAAGTGATAACATGTTTTTTTCCAGTGCCACCGTGCGGAGCTTTGTCACTTAAGTGGACCAAGATGTTCTTAGACAAGTGAAAAAGGTGCCTAATCCTGCACAAATATGCTACCAGTCATAGTAGCTGATTGAAAAAGGAATCTTTGGGCCAGAAACGGTAGATTCAGGCCTAAATTCGACCCTCACAGATTTGGTCTTGTGTGTTATTGGTGATGTAAAAGTACATTTTCTATTATATATTTTTGATATAACTTTTTTACATATATATTTTGACAACACTTTGAGCTTTGCAGAAAACAAAACAAAAAAATTAACTACCTTTTTTTTAAGAAAGGTTTGAAACGAGACTGTGGTATAAACACCGTTTTTAGCAGGTTAGTATTCTAAATTATCCAATGGGTGTTTTTACATGACGTCAATCTGCCATTTTGTTGTTAGTTTGTTTTTCAGACGAATTTACTAATATGAAGGATTACATTGCAACCTGTTGAGGAGATGTCAGCGTGGTAAGACTAATAAGCTCCTGTGCTCTACACATTTTAGGGGTCATGTAAATCCTTGGAGTGCTTGCCTTCGGCACACGCCAAACAGCTCACAACAACAAAATGGGGGACAAAATTACATAGATGAAAACACCCTACAGGTTTTGTCACACATTTCCAAGTGTTTTTAAGGGTGCAGATTCACTAAAATTTGTCGTAAACAGATGATATTCTTTTTTTTTTCTTTTTCAGAACGCTCTAACCGTAGTAAAACTTTAAAATTATGTGTTAGTCGTAAACGTTTTTAATGATAACAAATTTGGTTTTGTGTTTTCTATAACGAATGTCAAAATTGAACTTTTAGCATAGTACTCAATTTTCAAAGAAATGGAACTCGTAGTGGTGGTCAGTCTAAATATATATACTTAGCGGTTATGGATAGTATAGAATTCACGAACCAAACAAGTAAAGTCAGAAAAAAAAAATCTTTCAAGCAAGAAAATTTTTTTTTTTCTATTTGATCTTTTCGTCCTGAATGCAGTGTTAGGAAGTACTTTAAGTGCATTGTATCTACTTCAGGTAGGTTTAGAAACCTTGTACTTGAAGTGAATTCTCTGTGTATGTACTTGTACTTTACTTACAGTATTTTCTTTTTGTACTTTCCGAAGAAAGTACAACCTTCGACTTCAAAGTGCCCAAATTTGGTAGCGGTGAAACTAAGTTCTTTCAAGGACCACGCGCTCACGTCCTGGCTTTGTCAGCGCCGTACACAACTTCTGAGGTCGCGTATAAGAAGAATGGAGTATCATCATGTGAAAACGCGATATCGTGTTTCAAGATGTTATCCGGTCATTTATCTGAGTTAAGTAATGGCGGCTATAAGACCGATACGGATAATTGGCTTGTAAGTTGATTGTGTTAAATAGTTTGTCAGGGGGAGTAAAACAACCACTCTGTGGCCGCTTGGCTTTATATCCAGTACATATTTGCCATTTCCGAAAATAGCTGATGCAGCCCCCGAATGCATACCAGTTACAAAAAAAAAAAAATTAAAGATTTTGTTAAAGGTACATTTATTTTACTTTGAAAATACACTGTATTTATAGTACATCAAGTACAGTCACGCAGAAAGTAAATGGGGAGTTTTCATAGATCGTTTCCGCTGTCCCGCGACGCTCTCCGCAACCAGCTACGCTTGCCGGAACTCCTACAGTCAAGGCCATGGGCGCGCCGGCGCAGTAGCGGCTGCTTCTTTGCGGAGGGGGAAACGCGGTCTACGAAAACTCCCTATTAGCTAGTTTTCGTAGATCGTTTCCGCTGTCCCGCAACGCTCTCCGCAACCAGCTACGCTAGCCGGAACTCCTGCAGTCAAGGCCATGGGCGCGCCGGCGCAGTAGCGGCTGCTTCTTTGCGGAGGGGAAAACGCGGTCTACGAAAACTCCCTATTAGCGAGTTTTCGTAGATCGTTTCCGCTGTCCCGCAACGCTCTCCGCAACCAGCTACGCTAGCCGGAACTCCTGCAGTCAAGGCCATGGGCGCGCCGGCGCAGTAGCGGCTGCTTCTTTGCGGAGGGGAAAACGCGGTCTACGAAAACTCCCTATTAGCGAGTTTTCGTAGATCGTTTCCGCTGTCCCGCAACGCTCTCCGCAACCAGCTACGCTAGCCGGAACTCCTGCAGTCAAGGCCATGGGCGCGCCGGCGCAGTAGCGGCTGCTTCTTTGCGGAGGGGAAAACGCGGTCTACGAAAACTGCCTATTAGCGAGTTTTCGTAGATCGTTTCCGCTGTCCCGCAACGCTCTCCGCAACCAGCTACGCTAGCCGAAACTCTGCAGTCAAGGCCATGGGCGCGCCGGCGCAGTAGCGGCTGCTTCTTTGCGAAGGGGGAAACGCGGTCTACGAAAACTCCCTATTAGCGAGTTTTCGTAGATCGTTTCCGCTGTCCCACAACGCTCTCCGCAACCAGCTACGCTAGCCGGAACTCCTGCAGTCAAGGCCATGGGCGCGCCGGCGCAGTAGCGGCTGCTTCTTTGCGGAGGGGGAAACGCGGTCTACGAAAACTCCCTATTAGCGAGTTTTCGTAGATCGTTTCCGCTGTCCCGCAACGCTCTCCAGAACCAGCTACGCTAGCCGAAACTCTGCAGTCAAGGCCATCGGCGCGCCGGCGCAGTAGCGGCTGCTTCTTTGCGGAGGGGAAACGCGGTCTACGAAAACTCCCTATTAGCGAGTTTTCGTAGATCGTTTCCGCTGTCCCGCAACGCTCTCCGCAACCAGCTACGCTAGCCGAAACTCTGCAGTCAAGGCCATGGGCGCGCCGGCGCAGTAGCGGCTGCTTCTTTGCGGAGGGGGAAACGCGGTCTACGAAAACTCCCTATTAGCGAGTTTTCGTAGATCGTTTCCGCTGTCCCGCAACGCTCTCCGCAACCAGCTGCGCTAGCCGAAACTCTGCAGTCAAGGCCATGGGCGCGCCGGCGCAGTAGCGGCTGCTTCTTTGCGGAGGGGGAAACGCGGTCTACGAAAACTCCCTATTAGCGAGTTTTCGTAGATCGTTTTCGCTGTCCCGCAACGCTCTCCGCAACCAGCTACGCTAGCCGAAACTCTGCAGTCAAGGCCATGGGCGCGCCGGCGCAGTAGCGGCTGCTTCTTTGCGGAGGGGGAAACGCGGTCTACGAAAACTCCCTATTAGCGAGTTTTCGTAGATCGTTTCCGCTGTCCCTCAACGCTCTCCGCAACCAGCTACGCTAGCCGGAACTGCAGTCAAGGCCACCGGCGCGCCGGCGCAGTAGCGGCTGCTTCGCTGCAGAGGGCTTAGCGGAGGGGGAAACGCGGTCTACGAAAACTACCTATTAGGGAGTTTTCGTAGATCGTTTCCGCTGTCCCGCAACGCTCTCCGGAACCAGCTACGCTAGCCGAAACTCTGCAGTCAAGGCCATCGGCGCGCCGGCGCAGTAGCGGCTGCTTCTTTGCGGAGGGGGAAACGCGGTCTACGAAAACTCCCTATTAGCGAGTTTTCGTAGATCGTTTCCGCTGTCCCGCAACGCTCTCCGCAACCAGCTGCGCTAGCCGAAACTCTGCAGTCAAGGCCATGGGCGCGCCGGCGCAGTAGCGGCTGCTTCTTTGCGGAGGGGGAAACGCGGTCTACGAAAACTCCCTATTAGCGAGTTTTCGTAGATCGTTTTCGCTGTCCCGCAACGCTCTCCGCAACCAGCTACGCTAGCCGAAACTCTGCAGTTAAGGCCATGGGCGCGCCGGCGCAGTAGCGGCTGCTTCTTTGCGGAGGGGGAAACGCGGTCTACGAAAACTCCCTATTAGCGAGTTTTCGTAGATCGTTTCCGCTGTCCCTCAACGCTCTCCGCAACCAGCTACGCTAGCCGAAACTGCAGTCAAGGCCATCGGCGCGCCGGCGCAGTAGCGGCTGCTTCGCTGCGGAGGGCTTAGCGGAGGGGGAAACGCGGTCTACGAAAACTCCCTATTAGCGAGTTTTCGTAGATCGTTTCCGCTGTCCCGCAACGCTCTCCGCAACCAGCTACGCTAGCCGGAACTCCTGCAGTCAAGGCCATGGGCGCGCCGGCGCAGTAGCGGCTGCGTCTTTGCGGAGGGGGAAACGCGGTCTACGAAAACTCCCTATTAGCGAGTTTTCGTAGATCGTTTCCGCTGTCCCGCAACGCTCTCCGCAACCAGCTACGCTAGCCGGAACTCCTGCAGTCAAGGCCATGGGCGCGCCGGCGCAGTAGCG